GCTGAGGGGGCCAGTGGGCACGACAGGGGAGGTCTGCCGCGCCATGTGGGCCGGCCGGGATGGAACCGGTGCTGCAGAGGCTGCAGATAGCTTCACAGCACTGCGCTCAACCACCTGCGCCACCAGGGGAGGCCCCATCCTTGTTTCTTGAGAAAATAAGATGTGTCTTTTTGCTTTCTCATATATTACTAGTTTACTGGTCAAGCTGACATAGTTTTGGAGCACAGCTTTGTGCCCACTATGTGCACAGGCTGTGCGCTCCCTCTACAAGCTCCAGTGCCAGGGGCCTGTTATGTTCCCTTTTCCACTCCTCTGATAACCAGTGTGTTTTTCACAAGGCCTGAGAATTATTTTTGTTGTGTATTAGAGTTTTTCTTTGGTTATTTATATTCTGCAAATGAGTGAAACCATTCAGTAACCGTTGAACTTAATTTTATTTATCCTAATCACATCAAGATCTATCCATTTTATCCCAAAATACACTATTTCACTTTTATTAGTAGCTGAGTAATATTCCATTGAGTATTCCATAATTTTCTTACTCAGTTGTCTAGACACGTATTTTTACCCCAAAATAAGACCGTGTCTTAACCAGCTGTACATTCTGAATGTACGGCACAAAATAGTTGTCTGACTATCTCATAAATACAGCGCCAGCTCTGTAGATGAGCTCTCATCACCTCAACTCCATAGTGCTTTCACCTTCATGTGCTGGCTGCTTTGTGACACCCACTGGGTCTCTTAATCTTCAAGAAGTTTGGAGTAGGTTTATGGTATTGATACATGAGAAATGTCGAAATAAAATTTTATTTGAAGCATTATAATTAATTTAACATTTTCAGGAATTTTTTAAATGTCCAAAGTAGCATTTGGAAGGCTTTGAATAGTTCAGTTTTTCTAAAATAATGATCATTAGTAGGAAAGCTAGGTTCTTAATTTTGTATACATTTATGGGATAAATTTGTAATTGCTAATTGGTGAAAAGATATTGTACCTGTTACCTAGCCCCCCCCCCACACACACACATTTATAATAGCATTGATGTACAGAATGGGATATTTTTTTATGCCAAGGAAAGGAAGTTTTGGTATTTTCTATTTTTAACTTGATGGTGCTCTGCAGAATAGAATAAAACACAGAGTTACAAAAGGCAATACTTGCATAGGCATTTTTCACCTTTTGCCCACTCTTTTATTTTCTAAGTTGCTTTTCTGGACCTATTAAGTGGTAATGATTAACTGTTGCTAGTTTTCACCCCTTAATGTTAAGTCACAGTTCAGAGTTTATGGAGAGTTAAAATGCCATAATGCAGTAAATTAGGCAGTGTGTGTGGCGTGATGGGGCAGAAGAAAACCAAAAAACCTCTCAGCTGGGCCTCAGGAAAAGTAAGTTCTAATCCTGCCTTTGATAATGGCTTAGTGGTGATGTTGGAGTAATTTAATTTCTCTTTTCTCAAGCTCAGTCTTGATAGCAATTGAACTTGATCATCTTAAAGCTTTCTCTCCAATTCTGAAATGTTACACTGTTTGTATTAAGTATGTATGCTGGGATTTTAGTAATATTCATACAAATGTTCAAAATGAAGAAAATGGCTGCACTATCAATGGATATACACACACACTTTGGATTCATTTTCTAAATAGGTGTTTGTCAAGTAGGGGAAAGGGAGAGGATTAGCAGGACTGAGATGTACAGAATTACAAAGGTGGAATTGTGAATCACATGATGAATTTTGCAGTTAAATTGGTGTGTCTAGAGTGCAGGATGTTTGGAAAGCATTTCTATGTATTAAGCTCCTAGTGTGACTAATTGCTGTAAGGTAAAGTGTATCTCCAAAGAGCATCCACAGTTTTCCTGGTATTTTTCTCCTTTGTTAGAAATTTTGTTTGCTCTTCAGGGTTCATTTTGTATGAAAATTCCACAGAATGCACTAATTTTTCCCTTGTCCTAGGGGGTGCACTACCTCCCGCAGCTCCTTTCCCCAGTAGGATAGGCGCACACAGCCTCTGCCTCTGCCTGGTGATGGCATTAGGCAGCACTGTGACATTTTGAATGGAATGTTGTGAATGTATAAAGCCCTTTTTGTTTTAGTCTGAAATCTCTTACATGTTCACGAAATAGCTTCCTTGTAATCTAGATTTCAGTAGTCACTTGGGGCTGCTGGCTACAGTGTAGGTTGGTTTGCCTTATCTTCATTGTCCCTTATGTTTGTAGTCACTGACATGCTAAGTCTCCTCTTCATACAGAAATGCCTTTTCTAGTTCCTGCCTCTTGACTCTCACTTTTATTTTCTATTCCAAGCTTCGCTGAGGATTAGGGGACTTTCTCCTTAAAATTCTCTTTCCAGATCTTCTGGGACGAGGCTATTTTCTTGCCACTGTGTCTTAGGTTTCTTAATGGCTTTCTAAGATTGGTGTCCCCTACTTAAATTAGGTGGGCCCATCCTTTTTATTTACTGTGGCCCACCGTTCTCTTAGTCTGCATCTTCTGTACTGTGGTGTATCCCACCTCTCTCTCTCTCTGACTGACCACTTCCCTATACTTCATATCTGTGCCGCTGAATTCCTGCCTGCTGGATGCCACCATTGCTGAGACCACCATTCACATCTTGCCAGTAAATCCATGTGAAATGGTTTCTGTTAACTCATAATTAAGGAATAAATTTGTTTATCATTTCCAAGTTTAGTGTAGTTTTTGCCTCTTGTACTTTTATGCAATTTTTTTCAATTCTGTAATTTATAGTTGTAAGCAATTCATCTTCTCATATTCAAGTATTTTCTGCAGGTGATAGAGATACAGTGGTGTGACCAAGACACATACAGGAAAGGAGAGTCTGCCTTACGGGCTTTGCAGTATACGAAAGAGGATTTGAATGTGTGGCTGTAATGCCGTGGGGTGGTGGTGTTATGATCAAGCCAGAATAAGAACTTGGAGAACTCAGCAGTAGAACCCTCGATCAGTCTTGCAGGGAAGGCTCCCCTATTTAAGACGAGAGGTGACGGAGGGCCTCCCTGGAGGCGCAAGGGGTTAAGACACATCTTATGAGGCTATCCGCAGCCACTGCAGCATGAGTTTGATTCCCAGCTGGCCAGGGAGCTACCCACATGGCACAGCAGACCTCTCCTGGCTCACCTACTGCTCCCCTCAGCAGTGTGTTTCAGTCAGTCTGCCTGTTCTGTTCCCCACTCTGTCTTTGGTGAATCCTCTCACCCTCCCTCGCCTCTGGCCTGTACCCCGGCTCTTGTATAAATAAATAAATCTTTAAAAAATTAATAAATAACTAAATCTTTAAAAAAAAAAAAAAAAAGACGAGAGGTGGAGCAGCAGATAGGAGCAGCTAGGCCAAAGTGATAAGGAAGGACCATTGCAATTTATTGTATTTGAATAGAATTAATGTTCTAGTTGAATTGACAGAGGGAAATTAATTTGAAGCATATAGAACAAACAGATAATTGCAGTCATAGCTGATGGTCAGATTTGCTTTTTGTTGTATATTGAATTGGTAGTATGAGTGCAGACACATCCATACTACCAATTAGCAGTCTGATGTGCTGTAAGTAAGCTGTAAAGTGGGGAATAATATTTGCTAATGGAAACTTATTTGCTAATGTCTACTTATGCAATGAGTGGTTACTCTCCATGGGGGCAGAATACTGTTTTTCCTGTGAGCATGCCAAGCCATTGCGCCTTGTGATGTTACCAATGGTAACTCTTTGCTGGGCACATTATGCCAAGTAGATGGGACTAATTATAGTGATTTCCTGTTAGTCTTGAATTCCTTAAATTCACAATCAAAAGAGGATGGTAAGCTTTTGAGATGGGGAAAGAAAAGAATTGACTTTAAAAGGTTTTTGAGTAATGAAAATCAAGCTTGTACTACATTAAGCACATTTTCACACCATTAAGCACTGAAGCATTTTCTTTGAACCTCTTCTAATCTACAAGGAGGGTTGGGGGACTCCAGGACCTGGTTACAATATCATCTTTTGTTACTATTAAAAAGAAAGTATTGCTTTAAACTGTGGGAGGATCATGTTGATTTTAGATTTTTATTGATGATATAAGGAAAAAATTACTTCAAATGGAATGAAGATACCAACTATTCATTTACAGATTTGGGAAAACATTTTGAATAGCCTTTAGTTTGTAGTTTTGTGAAACTAGGATAATAGGAAAAAAACAATTAGAGTGGTAATTTCTGTCCTTAAATATGAATTATTTGAAGTATTTCCCTGTTGGAAAAACTAGAAAGCTGGGCAGGAAAAAGGTTAACCCTAGCAGTTGTCTTGCTACAATGAGACTCTCCTGATTTTCAGACCTCATGTCAGATCCTCTCAACATGCACCTGTCCCTCATCAACACTAGTAGAGGATATTTTAGTATTAGGGAAATTCGTTTGTATTTGTGTGTGTGTGAAGTACAAGAACATACTCAGTTTTTTACAGTCCTCTTGATTCTAGCAGTTACTGACAGTTTAGCATATAGTTATTAAAATTGCAGAGACATTAAAACTATATTCTACTCAAAAATTGAAAATAGGGGATTTCTTTGAGGGTTACCTATTTTCTTAATATTCTGTGTTCCTCTGGTTATTTTAGAATAAATTGTTATGTTATTTCTGTTCATTCTTAATCATATCTGAAGCAGTAAAAGGAGATCCCAGTGAGACTGAAATCTTGGATTATTTAATCTTACTTAAAAAATCTTTTCTGACAAAATTTATATTGAAGCTATTAAGCAAGGGAAAAAATATAACTACTTTTAGTTTCCACTTTCTTAATGTCTGTCACTTATACAAGATATTTAAGAATTAGTACCATGACAAAATATACAGTGTATGACTTGTAATTAAAATCACTGCCTGTATTCAGCACTTTATTTCCTGGGTAATAAATTAAGAGATTTTTCCAGACTTTCATACTCAAGTGAATGGTTTCAATCTCAATACCTTGTAATTAACTTTACTTCATGAGGATTAAGCAAGTGTTAATATTTTATAGGTCTCATCACAACTACATCAAGGAAACTAGACCGAGAACAGCAAGATGAACACATATTGGAAGTAAGCATGTCTTTATTTTTAAATTACTTTTAAATATTATAAATATCATAGAAAGGAGCAATCTTGTTCATGTTAGTATTCATTGTTGTTCATACTTTGTTACAATAGTTGCTTCTTGTTGGTACAAAGGAAAATAAAGAAAACATGTTCATGTTTCCTTATACCTCTTCTGTCCCCAGCTTTTATAACTGCTGTTCCAAGTTCCACTCTAATTTTTGTACCTTATACACACACATACAGAGCGAACAAAACTAAGAGCAATTATTTATTTGAATTATAATTTCATTTACATAAGTGATACGTCCCTATCTTCTATAATTTCCCCACTCCCCCAGAATTGTTTTTTTGTGTTACTATTAATAGATCTGATTCAACCTATTCTATTAATAGATCTGATTCAACCTTTTCCAGCTGTAGTTTACTTTTTTTTTCTTCTTAAACAAGTTGTATTGTTTATGCCTTGTAAACTGAATTATAAAAATGGATACTTTTTAAATTTTTCTAAAATTAGGGCAACTTGAAGTCATCTGATGTATGCTCTCTTACTGTTAGTGAGGCTTCTAGTTCTCACAGTTATAAATGCTTTCTAGTTCTTAGGGGGAAAAACACAGGTTATCATTTCCTGGTTGTCTTATTTCTGCTGGGCGGGAAACATTTTGCAGTAGAAGGGATGGGAGTAAATTGGAGGATGGAAGTAGAGTATAGTGATGGGCTTGCTGGGTGACATTGCCTGCAAACCAGGAAGCTGCAGCCCCTGCAAAGGGAAAAAGGAGCAGAACTAGCCTATTATCTCTTGGTAACTATTATTTAACATACCTGTTATGTTAAAAATAGCTCTTGCCTCTATCATATGTTAAAGGCTAGTGTTGATTGATAGAGTCAGATCTGAAAAAGCCATTGCTTTTGTTTAATTGTGAGTTATCTGGACAGCTCTTCCATTCTACTAATATGGATAATTGAAAACATTCCAATTAATTTTTTTTTTTAAATTCTCCCTTTTCAGTTATGCTGCCTGCTCAGTTTCATTTCATTTTTGGTCAACATTTTGTAACTTTGTCAGTGCTCTATTTTGATTTTGTAGCTGTGTAGTGTGTGTCCGTGTATGCATGTATGTAAGCACACAGTACTGTCTCGTGAAGATGGTTTTTACAACCACAATTAAAGTTAGTAATTTTCTCAAGAGTTATGGCTAAGTGTTTAGCTATTACTCTGAGTTCATTTTCTTCATGATAGATCAGAGTTTTGAATTTTCATTCAGTCACTACAGTGGTTGACAAAAAGAAGAAAAGAATTTTTGAAGAAAATGACAGATGGCAAAATATCCAGGGCAGCAGATTACAAACATTGGCATCCTGCTCCAGTCCCCTCACCCCACTTGGAACTGCCCTGGGTACCCATTAGTCAGTGCCTGACTCCACAGCAGTCTTTTCTCATGAAATAGCAAATGCTGGGTGGGAGCAGGGTAAGATACTTAGGACATAGAAATAAAATTTTTTAATAGTTTGTTTACATGTCTTGTCCTTTTTTAGTAGTCCTTTTGTGGTTTATTTGTGAGCCATTGCTGCATTAACCTGACTGTCACTGGTTAACAGTTGATTTGACCGTCAACTTGTGAAGGGAAAAAAATTCCATCACATATTAAAAGCTGTGTAACTGACTACTGGTAATTAAGCCCAAACTTTAAATAGTCTGGTGATGAATATTAAAAAGCGTATCATTAAGTTGTGTTTCTTTTTTTCTAAAGCTTTTATGAAAATTAACCAAAAGGTAATATTTCAGAGATTAAAATAGTAATTTTTATTTTGTGAGGTTAGGAAGGTAAGTCAGTGTACATTAAGTAAAGCGACTATTTTAATATTTTTAGTCTTTCGATAAATCATTGACAAAAAGAGGTGGGGGTATGGGTCGTGATTTTTAATGTACTTCCTGAAATAAGCATGAGCCTTGGCTTTAAGTGTGAGGTTGACACTCATGCCTGTAGAAGCAAACCAGGACAGTCCTCGGGGTATCTGGTCATTGTTCCTGTATTGAGTGCATGGAGAGTTTGCTTAGAATGGAAGCTGTTTCACATTTCTGTTTTTGAAAATCTTTTAAGTTGATCATACATTTAGATGTCTACATCCATCCTTGAAAACTTCTCTATAAGAACCAAACAAAATGGGCCTCCCCTGGTGGCGCAGCAGTTGAGCGCTGGGTTGTGAAGCTGCCCACAGCCTCTGCAGAGCCAATTCAATACCTGGCCACCGACGAGGGTCCCACCAAAAAAAAAAAAAAAAAAAAAAAAAACAAAATGACAATTACTAAGCATATGCTTGACATATTTTAAAACAGTGATTTATGGTGATTTAGCTCACTGTATTGATGAAGGTCAAAAATGACAGTTTTTCAGTGCAGTATATCAAAATTTTAAGTATATAGAACATTTATTGTTTTTAAGAGGGCTCTTTAATATTTTGTCACTTTTTTATGTATCGCTTCCTTGACTTAAAACTGTTTTATCATTTTGGTGATGATCCCATTACAGTTCAGCTTGTAAAAGGAGAAGTGGCATGCTGAGGAGAGAGCAAGGCTCATAGCCAGTCCTTTCTAAGCCCCTGCCAAGCTCTCAGACTCCCTATCTGAAAACGGGAGCTGTGATCCTGCCTCCTCACAGGACTGTTGTCAGGATGAGAGGGGATGAGATGTGTCGTAGTACATGAGAATTGTAGAGGTTTATACAGATACTGGTTATCATTAGAGAGAAGGTATTCATTTTATATAGTAATTCTAAAAATATTTGTGATTTCTGTTACCTTGGGGAAAAAAAACAGGTCACTGTGACAGACAATGGCAGCCCCCCCAAATCAACCATTGCAAGAGTAATCGTGAAAATTCTTGATGAAAATGACAACAAACCCCAGTTCCTGCAAAAGTTCTACAAAATCAGACTTCCAGAACGGGAAAAACCAGAACGAGAAAGGAATGCTAAGCGAGAGCCTATATATCGTGTTATAGCTGCAGACAAAGATGAAGGTCCCAATGCAGAAATCTCCTACAGCATTGAAGAAGGAAATGAGATTGGCAAGTTTTTTATTGAGCCAAAAACTGGAGTGGTTTCATCCAAGAAGTTTTCTGCAGCTGGAGAATATGATATTCTTTCAGTGAGTTAAGATCTAGTTCTTGAATTTCTTATACTCTGACTGTTAATAGCTTGTTATCTTTCGTCCTTTGTAACTTTATCTCTATTCAGTAAATGCACCCAGTGTCTGGGGGTGCCTTTTCTCTCTTCATTTGGTTATGAAGAGACATCTATCAAGCATTAAACGTGTTATATACAAATACAGATATGAAGTGTTTGAAACCCCTCTGTGTGAGATTGAAACACCCCATGCTTCCTTTGTAACTTGTAACTTGGCCTGTGACTTCTAATTTTCTGTTTTATCTCTTCTGCCCTTATTCTATAGATTAAGGCAGTTGATAATGGTCGCCCCCAAAAGTCATCAACCACTCGTCTCCATATTGAATGGATCCCCAAACCCAAACCATCTCTGGAACCAATTTCATTTGAGGAATCATTTTTTACCTTTACTGTAATGGAAAGCGATCCTGTTGCTCACATGATTGGGGTGATATCTGTTGAGCCTCCTGGCACTCCTCTTTGGTTTGACATCACTGGTAAGCAATTCTCATTATTTTCATGGTCCTTGTAGAGGTTATACTGAGGGAAACCTTTCTGGTTTTCTGATTTTTTTGTGTGTGCATATCTGAGAATTCAAAATTGAGAGCAAGACTGATAGATAACTGGTTGAGACTGTTTTAAATTGCGGTATTTTCACCTGAAGGGTTTGATTCTCTACCTCTAAATCATAGACAACTGTTGTAAGCCAATATTACCTCAATAAAATAAATAATATCCAGAAGTCAAGTGGCATAACACATGTCCAGTGGCATACACTCATGAGTACTCATTTTCTGCTTGTATAAATAAAATATGGTCTGATAAAAATTATTGTATTTTGATTGCAAATATTTTTATGATACCCAACCTGTACTAAACTTGTTTAAAATAGGTGCTCTATATATCATTAATGAAACAAGGTTTTTAAAGAGTGCTTCAAAGAGAAAAATCTAAATGTTTCTGTTTGGAAGCATGGCTTCTTAAATTTTTCTTCTTGGTGCATAGCATAGGCACACAATTTTTATTATGATTTGAATACTTCAAATAACTATTCCTGTTTGACTTGTCACATGTCAGTATGTTAAAAGGGATAAACCTACAAATTCTAACTGTATAACTTAAAAAAATACAGTGCCAATTTACCACTTTTCAAGTATTAGTTACCTCATTTGCTGTAGGAAGCAGGGTTCACTAGATTAAATCACCTTTAGAGACAAACTACATGCCTACACCAATTCTTTTATTTTGTCGTGTAATTTAACTTACACATAGAATATGATACTCTTCCAACATAAATTTCACAGTAATCTTCAGCATCTTAACTTTTCTTTTATTCTATGTCTTCCCAATATTTTAATTCTAAGGCTATTTCAGATCAAAAGAATATGTGTTGTGATTTGTCTCTAATTGAAAGTTCATACCCTTTTCCCTTAGCTACCCTAGTCCCCCAAAAGCTTTCCCAGCATGTTGAAGCCAGTGGATGTGGGGGACAGACCCCCCACATGGTGCAGGTGTTCCTCTTGGGCTTTCACACTGATTAGGTAACATCCCAGGTTGGGTCATTGTATGACGTTATTGATGTCATCAACACCTATGAAAGCATTATGGTTTAATACTAAAGGAAAAAGATGAATATCAATTTCACCATTCACAATCAAAATTGTTTGTTTTCTGCTAATCCTATCATGTTTCGAGATGAGCAGGCTGCTGTTACGTGGTATTTAACTTCACCATTAATACTAACTGCATTTGGAACCAGTTGATTGATTGCTCTTCCTTCTTCTGTGCTTGCCTTCCATGCTTGCTTGCTTCTTTTGGGCTGTGCCAGGAGATACACTTGCTAAAGAAGTGTTTTACATCTTTCAGATGACTTGTGACCTGAACTGTACAGCAGAAGGTATCTGCTGAGATCACATAATTTGCCTCAGATTATGAGATCTAAAATAAGCATCAATTTTAAAAACTTTATTTCCAGTGATTGTCTTTCATTGCGCTTTCTTTTCATAGTATAGACATGGTCACTCATTCCAGTTGTAAACATAATTGATTTCTAATATGTGCCTAGTCTATAGTTTTCAGTGTAATTGAGTCTTTGTTTTGTGATTGTTTGTTTTGTTTTCTGGTTAGATTGAGTAATAGAACTTTAATTTTTCATGACTTTATTTTTATTCCATTTCATTCCATTGATAAAAATATCTCAAATTCAATGGGCCTGCAAAGAGTTTTATCTAGGACATAATTGTGAATGCATGATAATGTTAGCAGCACAGAAACTTTTGCTTTATTGAGCTCTGTGTTTTGATAATTGGAAAAAATTTCTTTCCACACAGTGTATGAATCAGAACTAACATATTAACTACTACTCTTGTTAAGAGCTAACAGTTGTTTTTAATAGTTACTTTACTAGGGCTGTATGCTCAAAGGGTCTCAACAATCTTTTTTTGAGTAAATAGCCAACTTGGTTATTTTAAATGATGTATAATAGAGGTACTCAGTATAATTAAAGACATTCTGATTACCTGACAGAAGAAACTGAAAGTAATTCATTGGCAGTAGTGTTTTTCTGTTTTCAGAGTTGCTTTCTTGCTTCCTCTAAATTACTAGTTTTGCTGACAATTAGGTCTCAACTTGGCCTTAATGAGAATTGTCTTTTTAATGGGCTCTTCTTTTCTTGTCTTTAAAAATAAAAGTTCTTTCAAATCACCTTGATCAGCATATCAGAAGTTTTGTTTTTGCCCTTTTTTTTGGTTATTGCCATTAAGAATTAGCCACAAAATGAATGGCAGGTTTTCATCATGTGACCTGTTTTTACTTTTCTACTTGTTTTAATTTAAACCAGGTGGCAACTATGATAGCCACTTTGATGTGGACAAGGGCACTGGAACCATCATCATTGCCAAACCTCTTGATGCAGAACAGAAATCAAACTATAACCTCACAGTGGAGGCTACTGATGGAACCACCACTATACTCACTCAGGTGAGTGCTGCTCGTGATGTATTTGTCAGAAGAAGCTTACATAACATTCTGATTTAAGGGACCACAGATAATATGAACAGTGGATTTTGCCCTCTGAGGCTTTCAAATCAGAAGTTACTATGCTAATAGTATTCACACACATATACCCTGAGGATTTTTATTTAGGGAAAGAAAAATATTAACTGCAAATCCTGATTTAGGTTTTGTATTGAATTAACCAGTTTTGAAAATTTTGAAAGATTGTCAAAGTCATTTTCATTATAGCTGGCTAAAGTGATTATCTTTCAGGGCACTTTTTGGGATAATTTTTCCCTTTGGCTAGGGTTGAGTAAAAAAATGATACATAAAATTGTTCTAATAGTTCCTTTAACTTTTTTTTTTTAAAGATTGATTTATTTAATTATACAAGTTCTGGGTAAAGTCAGAAGTGCAGAAGGGGGAGAGAATTCACCAGAGTCAGAGCAGAGAGCAGAGTAGGCAGACTGACAAAGTACACTGCTGAGGGAAGCAGCGGGTGGCAGGAGAGGTCTGCACGCCATGTGGGACCCTCACCTGGTGGTGCCCGGGGATTGAACATGCGCTGCAGAGGTTGTGGGCAGCTTCGCAACCCAGCGCTCAACCACTGCGCCACCGGGGAGGCCCAGTTCCTTTAACATTTTTATTTACTCTTATCGACACTTAAAGGATGGCCAGGTACTGGGATTTCAAATTTAGACATCAAAGTTCTAAAATTCACATTTAAATTTTCTTTTTTCTTAATAATTAAAAAGAAATTAATTATCTTTGAATCTAAGTGTGGACTGAGAATTTGTTGGACACTTGTTATATTCTGGGTATTGTGCTAGAAGCTGAATATCAGGAAACAAAAATCCTGCTTCCTTGGCATTTACATTAGAATGATGGTAGCTGAAGGTTTGGGTGTAATCTGTTTTATCCTCAAAGTAAAAGGAGGAAATCACAGTTAATAATGTTTCTGAATTTAAGTTTTCTAGCTTTAGTTTATACAATTTTAAACCTTCAATGAGATGGGTCATCTGCTAAATCTTGGTTGTAATGAAGAATAAAAATCAATAATCTGTGATGTCTTTTCAATTAACAGATGAACAAGTAAGTTAAAACTAGTTGTACAAAGATCTTAGTCTTCAAATGCTTATCTTTTTTTTATCATGTTTATAATCGATGTATGTGCTGTGCTTTGGGGTCATTTTCAGATTGTCATATATACGTTCTAGCACAGTGGTAAAATTTCAGTTTTGTCAGTAACTTCTCATTGTAGAAGTTAGACTATAGAGCATAAAAGTAAGAATAAAAAATATTAAGAATCATAATTTAATAGGATAATTCTGAAAGTTTTAAAGAATGTAACTGCTTGTATACCAGTTTGAATAATTGACTAACCAGAAATCTAGCAAAGGGAACTTAACAGCAGCAGTGACTGACCCTCTGTGCCAAGTGTTCTCATCACTAAAGGTGATACCTCTAAAGTAGCATGTATCATGTGTGATGTAGGCCAATAATTAGCACTTCACCCCCTTCCCAGTAATTATAATTTTAGATAGTACAGTTAAAAGCTTAATATGGAATGTGGTATAGGTTGACTAAAATTCCATAAAACCCAGGAAATATATTCTAGTCTTCTTTTCTCAGAGACACAGAATATCTTAAACTTCAATGCTCTGTCTATATTTCCATGACTTTTTTTGAGGTATTTTCAGAGTCTTGATAATATTCTAATGCATGGCCTGCAAAGAAAGGTATCCTGGATATCAAAGAATGGACATAAAGCCCCAGCTGACCTGTTAAGGTGTGGGACAAAGGAAACGATCAGTAATTAGGTTTCGATTTCCATTCTGGGACTGAGAACAGGGAGATAGGAATCTGGGTGGCAGCAAATTCCACAGGAAGGGGGACACAGAGATCAGAAGAGCGTTGATAAGGCACGGGAACACCACACGGTAGATTCAGATTCGGGTTTGTAGTGAAACTCAGGAGCCCACAGAGCAGGTTGTGCTGCATTGAGGTCAGGTTCCAGAAGGTTTGGAGAACACTGTCTGGTTTTAGCCCAGGGGCATCCCCCACAGAAGCAGACGGAGGGAGGGAGGGCTGGTGGTAACTGAACTGCCAGAGCTCTGCTGAAATAGCTCTTCTGGCTTTCTTACCCTGCCGGTTTTTCTTTGGTGCCGACAGGTAGACAGGTATTAACTCAAGTTACTTACCTGGCTTCTCAAAGTAACTTAACAAATCTAGTTGTCTTTGTTTTTTTCTTTGAACAAGCTTTGCTTTCATGTTTTTGTTTTTTATTTCCCTCCTCCAGTTTCTCTTGCACATTAGCATTGTATACTTGGTCCAGGCAGAATTTGAATTTTGACTGTTATTAGGGCCATGGGCAAGTGGCTGTTTACTCTCTCATTTTCTCATCTGGAAAATGGGGATAGTAATTTCTCTTCATTGGGTTCTTAGAGGGTAAAGTGAGAACAGTAAAGTCTTGCAGTTAAAGCCCTTGAGCCTGTCACCCAGCAAGCACTCAGAAGGAGTTGCTGCACATCAGCACTGGTTTGGGGTCTTGTCCTGCTTGACACTTGATTCACCTTCCATTCTCTGTCTCTGCACTTTGTTTTGCCCTAACCTCTCAGAATGGTCTGCCTGACCAAGAAACGGAGGTTAAGTTCAGTTTCTCTGATCAGAAGGGTCAGAGCACTTGGTCCATAACTCTTCAGCCTCTGCTCTGGAGTCAGGCCCTGCACCTTCTCCTCACCTTCCTCCTGCTTCTTTACTGTGTTATCCCTAATTTCCAAGTCCTTCTCTCTCCAGACTCTAAGGGATGGGATGTTTGTTTTTGACTGAGCTCTTCCTCTTAATATACATTCATCTTCCAACATAAAATCTATGTGTACAAAGCCTTATCTCCTCCTTAAAAACTTTTCAGGTGTTGCAGATCACAATAGGCTTGAATGTGTGAGGCCTTGTTGAGGAGGTTGAAGGTTTCCCGAGGGTTGGGGCTGGTATATGCTTATTTACACCCTCAGTAGTGCAAACAGGTGCTAAATATGCAAGTGACCAATAAATAAGTTGCAGTTGAATTGCCTTAGCAAAAATGGTTACTTGAGTTGTTACCATTCAGTTACTATTAATTGAGCATGGAAGAGTATTGAACTCTCTCTGCCCAACATGTCATGAGAAAAATAATTTTTAAATTTATAATGGAAATGAATACGTAATCATTTGATTTATAGACATTAACCTTTATAGCCATTCTTTCTGAATCATCATTGACCTTTGAAAGTGAGACATCTGTAGTTTTAAATGTTTGCCTAGCACCTTTCTTTCGTTGGGTGACTACATAAAGTTTGAAGTTACAAGTCCATTCTGATGTTTTAGTGTTCCATGGGAACACCAGCATAGTCTTCATAGAAAGGCCTCTAGTTCATATACTTGCCCCAGTGTATAGCTAACAATGTTAACTCTGTGTTCTTGGAACTTGGCCCTCTTACACCATTTAAACTAACCCCTTTTTTTCCTGAGTCAAGAAAGCTTAGATTTCTTACAATTGTAAAGAGTCTATTCTAGTAGTTAGTGAGCTTTACTATATCTTAATCTATATACATCTTTTCAACATGAAAATTAATATTCCTGTTAAATTCTTTTTTAAAATTGAGAGGCGTAGGGCTGAATTTTTAAACATCTGTTGTGTTCACATATTAAAGAGAGTTTGTCTTTTCTGTGTTTCAAAATTGCTTTTCAGAAATAAATCATTTACTATTTATATGTAGGTTTTATGATCACAAAAATAGGATTTTAAAGCACATTTCTAATTTTTCATTATATATAAAATCTGGGTGGAAATTTGGAGTCTCAAAGATTAGAACAGGAAATTTAAATACTATATGTAGTAACATAGTCATCTCAGTAACTTGGTTGCAGTTTCAAATCTGATACAGGAAATTAGTCACCTATAAGTCCTAGTAAACTCTTAATTTTACATGAGCAATCTAGTAATCTCTCTTCTGTGGAGACAGAGATTAAACCTGCATTGAAAAAGCAATGTGTGAAAGATGTTACATTTTTTCTCTGAAATTAGTTCCAAGAATTTAGAAAGGTCTTATTCTATTCATGTTGAGGTAATACATCAATGAGGTATTTTAAAGGTATTATTTTATGCACGGTTTCTGTTGCTTTTATTTCTTGTATTTCATTTTACTAAAAAATAAGCCTTTTTCAATCTGTATCTGATTATTCTTTAAGTAGTAAAGCATCATAAATAGCAATATTATTGTGAGTCATTTTGTTGTTATAGGTATTCATCAAAGTAATAGACACAAATGACCATCGTCCCCAATTTTCTACATCAAAGTACGAAGTTGTTATTCCTGAGGACACAGTACCAGAAACAGAAATTCTGCAAATCAATGCTGTGGATAAGGATGAGAAAAACAAACTGATCTATACTCTGCAGAGTAGTATAGATCCATTGAGTCTCAAGAAATTTCGTCTTGATCCTGCAACTGGCACTCTTTACACTTCTGAGAAGCTTGATCATGAAGCCATTCACCAGCATATTCTCACTGTCATGGTAGGGCTTTGTGCTCATTCTTCTGTTGCCACTTGATTCCACCATTTTGTTTGAGAGTAATTTTTAATCACTTATAAGGAAAACCCCAACAGGATGATGATGTATTGATTCTTCTAGGTACGAGATCAAGATGTCCCTGTAAAGCGCAACTTTGCAAGGATTGTGGTCAATGTCAGCGACACAAATGACCATGCCCCCTGGTTCACGAGCTCCTCATACAGAGGACGGGTTTATGAATCAGCAGCTGTCGGCTCAGTTGTGTTGCAGGTTACAGCTCTGGACAAGGACAAAGGGAAAAATGCTGAAGTGATCTACTCTATTGAATCAGGTATTTTTGGAGTACTCGATAGGTTTATAAAAGTATGTTTCTAATTTTCTAAAATTGTAAATGTTGAAGTATTTCTGTGTATTACTGTAAAAATTGCTTAAATTGATCTTACCATTTTACATGTTGGAAGAGGAAATGTTTTAAATGAATTTATTAGAGTACAAAGATTGAATCCTAGCTAAATTTGGGTAATTTTCTTGGAGATTCACAATTTTAGCAAAATTCAAGTCCCTGAGAATTCCTGAAGTAAAGAAAACTTTGTTGGACCATTTCAAAATTTCTAAAATAACTTTAACCACTCAACCACTCAATCATGTTCCTCTGAAGTATCTGTTAATGCAAAACACTCAAAAAAAAAAAGTGGGCTAGTGATTTAGCAGTTTACTTTTAGTCAGAATATTTTCTCTTGAGAAGAACAAGGTATTCCATGACAGAGAGCTGACTCCTCCAATGATAATTGGGTCATAACTTACAAAGTGGGTGTCCTGCGTTTACTGTCTACCCTGCCAGGTTTAACTTTCCTGCCACTTCCAGTGCATACTCTTCTAGCATTTGTGTTTCAGTCACAGAAATGGGTGGTTGTGGTAGGTCCTGGATTGGGACTAGGACTTGAAATATGGCGAAAAGCTAAGGGATCTGCTGTGGTTGGGCAAGTCAACAAAGGCAAGGAAGACCCACTGAGCTGTGGGCCTGGACATTTCTTTGAGGTGTGATAGGGCAAAAGATATGAGTCTTGCTGGTGATTTACCAAGTAATAGTTGTGGTGAAGTGTTGTGTTCCTTTATGTTGCCATTCACTCACTCAGTCATTCCCTGAATTACATAAGCGCATTTTATGTGCCAGGTGCTATGGTAGAAACATTCATACTTGTGCTTGGTAGGTAGAGGTTCCCATTGGCTCACAAATACATTTCTTACACAAGAATTCTGCCACCGATTGAAACAGAGATGTACTTTTACAACTGGGATATATACAGTCAGAAATCACCTTGCTTTTGGACTTTCCACTCATGTCAAGCACTATGAATAAGTGGTCAAATATTAAGAAAGCAGCTTCTGTCTTTCTCAGTGTCATTGTTAGTACAAGGAGATGCATTGCCTCCTTCATTTATCTATCCTTGTAATGATTTTAGAAGATTGAGATCTTCCATTTGACTTTAAAAAAAAAAATCCATACCTTACATATTTAGAAATTGTATCTTGCTTCTAAGCATTGATAGAAGTGTAAATTTAGATCATATAATCAAAGCTGAATAAATGGACAGTGATTTTAAAAATCAGTACTTATTCCATGCGTTTTATGTGGGTTAATATTTTTCTTCTTTAATATATTTGAAGTTTCGTTTCCCTGAAAATGACCAAATTTAGTCCATTGCTCATAAATAAGATCTCATATGCTGCCAGTGGTTGCAGTGTTAAAATGTATTGGAGTGTAGTTAGTGCCTTGAATAAAGATGAAGCCTTTTCCACTGGTTCAGAAATGTAGCTGTTAAAACAACAGTGAATTCCATTTGTGCATGCCTGAGCACTTCAATAAAATAATTATCTCATAGACAAACTGACTGGGTTTGTGTAGGAGAAAATGTTAAACTTTTCCTTAGCTTTCACATAATTTTCTACAACTGGGTGGTTAAAATATGATTGTTAGTGCCTGAGTAAAAGCATGTGCATTTTTCAAATGCTTGTAATGACTGATGGGATTAGTAATTTGGTATTTCAAGAATGGAACTGTGTCTCCACTCGAAGAATAAATAATGCCAGGGACCTATTCCAGTACAGAATTTGGATGTTAAAGTTTTATAGATTTGGTGTAATATAAAAATTGCTCTAAGTAATTACTTTATAGGAAATAGCTATCATCCAAATGCAGTTGTGTGTGTATGTTGGAATAGTAGGAATTACAAAATGGTCATAGAACTTTTCATTTAACAGTTTATTCATAATCACCTGCTTCTCAATTGTGTCAGATTGCATTTAGTAAAGTTCAGGAAACTAGTGCTATTTTCAGACCCAAGCACTGCATGTTGATGAGCAGCATTTATTGAAACAAAGGTTTGATCTGGTTAGATAAGATTAGAAAGGAACTTGGGTTCTGATGACTGCCTAAAAACATGAGCGAGAACATGAAATTGTGGACTCTCAAATACGCATGGGCTAGAAATTAGTTCTTTGAGGCCTGATACAGGCAGCAGAGACCCTACTTGTGAACCAAGTACTACTTGATTTAGCTCAGAGCTTAGTGGCCTGGAGATAAGCCTGGGCCTCTACCTTGGCACCAACTTAGGCACAGCCTTGAGGCCTGAACAGATTGCCAACAGATTTAATGAAAACCAGTCTGGCTGTGGACTCAGAAAAAATTATCATGATTTTTGGAAAATGCAAAAAAGAAGGAAAATGAAGAATGTTGAGGAAGTGCTTAATATTGATGTGGAGAAAGAAGTCCCTGGTTTGCAAATCACACTAAGTAATTCTGGGCTATGAAATGCCACACTGGGTTGCACACCTGGAGGAAAACAGAATTTGAGAAAGCAGTTAAGTGGAAGGTCAACTTTGTTTTGGGTGAATGTAATAGTTCACTTAGGGAAAATTCAGTTCGATGATTGTGATAATGCATTCTGGACCCTTGTTTATAGACCAAAAAAGGAATGAAGCGTTCATGGGTGGATTGAATCTGAAGAACCTTAAACTGCCATGATCTGTCCAAAAGATAGTAAACTGCTTAAACTGTACTAAGTCACAGGTTTCTTCAATAATAATTTAGTTGATTATACAAAACTATGAAATATTATGGAGCTGGAAATGCAGCCAATTGCACATATCTAATAATAGCTATTTGATATAGCTGGATAAGGTTCAACAAACAGCAAGCAAAACAGTGTATCTGAGAGTTTCTCAGCCTCAGCACTATTGACTTTTTGGAGCCCAAAATCCTCATAGTGGGCTATGCTGTACTTGTAAGGTGTTACACAGCAGCCCTGCTCTCTACCCCTGCATGTTAGTTGGACTATCGGCCCCTCTGAGTAATGTTAACCAACAATAGTGTCCCCTTTGTTGATTGAAAACCACTGACTTAAGAATAAAATGATCTGGAAAATGTTGAGACAGTAATGTCAAAAATCTTAAAAATCTGTATTACACATTGGGGTAAATTACTCAAATTCATTTCATAAATTCTTGAATATTTTTTAAGAGGGACTTTAATAAAGTATGTTAAATTTTCTTAACAATTTGAAGTCTTCCTTTCGTAATAAGTAAGAATCTTGAGTATTTACACATAAGTGCTGAAACTGTTAATATATTCCAGAGAATTTTGAAGGATTCTTGGAAAACTATTAACTGTTTCACAGAGGCAGTCTGGTCCTCCCACAACACTTTCTTGGTTCAGCCACTAGAGAGGCAGTTTTGGCTTTAGGTACACAGTGAAATTTCTTCTGTTTCTTGCTTAATTTATACACAAAACTAAAAAGTTTGCTTTGTTTTAGGTAGTTAAAAATGAAAGGAGTTTAAAAATGAAAATATTCTAAAAATATATTAAACTATAATAGAAAATAATATAATACAATTTAATGGAATATAATTTAAAAATACATCTTTGTTTCTGCATCTTTAGCTACTACTTCTTTTTATTTATTTTATTCCTTGTATTTTTCTTATCCCAGGAAATATTGGAAATTCCTTCACAATTGATCCTATCTTGGGCTCTGTAAAAACTGCCAAAGAATTAGATCGAAGTCATCAAGTGGAATATGATTTGATGGTAAAGGCTACAGATAAAGGCAACCCACCAATGAGTGAAATCACTTCTGTGCATATCCTGGTCACAATTGCTGACAATGCCTTTCCTAAGTTTACATCAAAAGAATATTCTGTTGAAATTAGTGAAACTATCAGCATTGGGAGTTTCGTTGGAATGGTTACAGCCCACAGTCAATCATCAGTGGTATATGAAATAAAAGATGGAAATATAGCTGATGCTTTTGATATTAATCCACATTCTGGAAGTATCATCACTCAGAAAGCCCTGGATTTTGAAACTTTGTCCATTTATACATTGACAATACAAGGGACCAACATGGCTGGTTTGTCTACTAACACAACTGTTCTAGTGCATCTTCAGGATGAAAATGACAACTTGCCAGTTTTTATGCAAGCAGAATATATAGGACTGATTAGTGAATCAGCTTCAATTAACAGTGTGATCCTAACAGACCAGAATGTGCCATTAGTGATTCGTGCCACTGATGCTGATAAAGAATCAAATGCTTTGCTTGTTTATCACATTGTTGAACCATCCATACACCCATATTTTGCTATTGATTCTAGCACTGGTGCTATTCATACAGTACTAAGTTTGGATTATGAAGAAACAAGTACTTTCCATTTTACTGTGCAAGTGCATGACATGGGAACACCACGCTTATATGCCGAATATGCAGCTAATGTGACTATCCATGTAATTGACATTAATGACTGTCCTCCTGTGTTCTCCAAATCATTATATGAAGCATCTCTTTTGCTGCCAACATACAAAGGAGTAAAAATCATCACAGTAAATGCTACAGATGCTGATTCAAGAGCGTTCTCACAGTTAATGTATTCCATCACCGAAGGCAACATCGGGGAGAAGTTCCTTATGGACTACAAGACTGGCACCATAACTGTACAAAACACAACACAGTTAAGAAGTCGCTATGAGTTGACTGTCAGAGCATCTGATGGCAGATTTGCAAGCTTTACCTCTGTGAAAATTAATGTGAAAGAAAGCAAGGAAAGTCAACTAAAGTTTACCCAAGATTTCTACTCTGCAATAGTGAAAGAGAATTCCACGGAAGCCAGGACATTAGCTGTCATCACAGCTATTGGAAATCCAATTAATGAGCCTTTGTTTTATCATATCCTCAACCCAGATCAAAGATTTAAAATAAGCCGCACATCGGGAGTTCTGTCAACCACTGGCATTCCCTTTGACCGTGAGCAGCAGGAGGCATTTGATGTGGTGGTAGAGGTGACTCAGGAACATAAGCCTTCCGCAGTGGCCCATGTTGTTGTGAAGGTCACCGTAGAAGACCAAAATGATAATGCACCTGTGTTTGTCAACCTCCCTTACTATGCTGTTGTGAAAGTGGACACTGTGGTAGGCCATGTTATTCGCTATGTTACTGCTGTGGACAGAGACAGTGGCAGAAATGGGGAAGTGCATTACTACCTCAAGGAACACCATGAGCACTTTCAAATTGGATCTGCAGGTGGAATTTCACTGAAAAAACAGTTTGAACCTGACACCTTAAATAAAGAATATCTTGTCACGGTGGTGGCAAAAGATGGAGGAAATCCAGCTTTTTCAGCTGAAGTTATAGTTCCAATCACTGTTATGAATAAAGCCATGCCTGTCTTTGAAAAACCTTTCTACAGTGCAGAGATTCCAGAGAATATCCAGATGCACAGCCCCGTGGTCCACGTACAAGCCAACAGTCCCGAAGGGTTGAAAGTGTTCTACAGCATCACAGATGGAGATCCTTTTAGCCAGTTTACTATTAACTTCAACACTGGAGTGATCAATGTTATAGCTCCCCTGGATTTTGAGTCCCATCCAGCATATAAACTCAGCATACGAGCAACTGACTCCTTGACGGGTGCTCATGCTGAGGTGTTTGTTGACTTAATAGTAGAAGACATCAATGATAATCCTCCTGTGTTTGTCCACCAGTCCTATGCTGCCACCCTGTCTGAGGCATCTGTCATTGGAACTTCTGTCATTCAAGTTAGAGCAACAGATTCTGATTCAGAACCAAATAGAGGCATTTCATACCATATGTTTGGGAATCACAGCAAGAGTCATGAACATTTTCACATAGATAGCAGCTCTGGTCTCATTTCACTGGTCAGAACTTTGGATTATGAGCAGTTCCAGCAGCACAAGATTTTTGTAAAGGCTGTTGACAGTGGTATGCCCCCCTTGAGCAGTGAATTGATTGTCACAGTGGACGTCACTGACCTCAACGATAATCCGCCTCTGTTTGACCAACAGATTTATGAAGCCAGAATCAGTGAGCATGCCACACATGGGCATTTTGTCACCTGTGTAAAAGCCTATGATGCAGATAGTTCAGACCTAGACAAGTTGGAATATTCCATTCTGTCTGGAAATGATCATAAGAACTTTGTCATTGACAGTGAAAGCGGGATCATCACTCTCTCCAACATGCGCCGCCACACCTTGAAGCCATTTTACAGTCTTAATATTTCTGTTTCTGATGGGGTTTTTAGAAGTTCAGCTCAGGTTCATGTAACTGTAATTGGAGGCAATTTGCACAGTCCTGTTTTTCTTCAGAATGAATATGAAGTAGAGCTTGCTGAAAATGCTCCCTCACATACCTTAGTGATGGAGGTTAAAGCAGTTGATGGGGATTCTGGTATTTATGGTCATATCACTTACCATATTGTTAATGACTTTGCCAAAGACAGATTTTACACAAATGATAGGGGACAGATACTTACTTTGGAAAAACTTGATCGAGAAACTCCAGCAGAAAAAGTAATCTCAATTCGTTTAATGGCTAAAGATGCTGGAGGAAAAGTTGCTTTCTGCACCATTAATGTTATCCTTACAGATGACAATGATAATGCACCACAGTTTCGGGCAACCAAGTATGAAGTGAACATCGGATCCAGCGCTCCCAAGGGGACATCCGTCATTAAAGTTCTTGCAAGTGATACTGACGAGGGATCCAATGCCGATGTCACCTATGCCATTGAAGCAGATTCTGAAAGTGTGAAAGAGAATTTGGAAATTAACAAACTGTCTGGCATCATTACTACAAAGGAGAGCTTAATTGGCTTAGAAAATGAGTTCTTTACTTTCTTTGTTAGAGCTGTAGATAATGGGTCTCCATCAAGAGAGTCTGTTGTTCCAGTCTATGTTAAAATACTTCCACCAGAAATGCAACTTCCAAAATTTTCAGAACCATTTTATACCTATACGGTTTCAGAAGACATGCCTATCGGAACAGAAATAGATCTCATCCGAGCAGAACACAGCGGGACTATTATTTATAACCTAATCAAAGGGAATACTCCTGAAAGTAATAGAGATGAGTTCTTTGTGATTGACAAACAGAGTGGGAGACTGAAACTGGAGAAGAGTCTAGACCATGAGACAACGAAGTGGTACCAGTTCTCTGTCCTTGCCAGGTGCTCTCAGAATGAGTATGAGGTGGTAGCTTCTGTAGATGTTAGTATCCAAGTGAAAGATGCAAATGATAACAGTCCTGTCTTGGAGTCTAACCCATATGAGGCATTTGTTGTTGAAAACATGCCAGGGGGCAGTAAAGTCATCCAGATCAGGGCGTCTGATCTAGACTCAGGAAGCAATGGCCAGATTATGTACAGTCTAGATCAGTCACAAAGTTTGGAAGTCATCGAATCTTTTACCATTAACATGGAAACAGGCTGGATTACAACCCTAAAGGAACTTGACCATGAAAAGAGAGACAATTACCAGATTAAAGTAGTCGCATCAGATCATGGGGAAAAGGTCCAGCTCTCCTCCACAGCCATCGTGGATGTTACTGTCACCGATGTCAATGATAGCCCCCCACGATTCACCGCTGAGATTTATAAAGGGACTGTGAGTGAAGATGACCCACCAGGTGGTGTGATTGCCATCTTAAGTACCACTGATGCTGATTCGGAAGAGATTAACAGACAAGTCACATATTACATAACAGGTAAAACATCTACGCTAGGCGGTTGAATTTACACTTAAACTGTTTTGGAAGTAAACTTTTTGAGACTCGTGGAAATGGGGAGTTAAAGGGATGATTCTGGTTGGTTATAACCAAAGTAAGTAAAAATTACATCTGTGAATCTGCAATTTCAGTTTCTTTGAGCAGAGCTAGTATAGTTTCATTAGCCTGCTTTCAATTTTTATGACTCATACTGTTGAACTTAGTATCTTAGTATGTAATATATAATGATACTTTAAAGGAGAAACATACAGTGTGCACTGAAGTTTTGTTTATAGTCTATATTTTTTATGATTTGATGCTGTGTTCAAATATACATTTTAAAGCTTTGATTTTTTGGTAAATGGGTAAGTTATACACAACTTAAATGGAATTTTATAAATGTTAATTCTTTTAAACTATAATATGATATGATCTTTGGGCAGTTTATTTCTCGTGTTATTTATTTTTCTTATTTGAACAAATTTAACCATCAACTTCGTTAATTCATTTTACAGGAGGAGATCCTTTGGGGCAATTTGCTATTGAAAATATTCAAAATGAGTGGAAGGTCTATGTGAAGAAGCCTCTAGATAGGGAAAAAAGGGACAATTATCTTCTCACTATAACAGCAACTGATGGGACCTTCTCGTCAAAAGCTATAGTTGAAGTAAAAGTTCTTGATGCAAATGACAACAGTCCAGTTTGTGAAAAGGTAGGTGGTTCTTTAAATTTATGCATTATAAAGTCAGTTCTCTTTCTTAAACCTTTCAATAGGATTATCCTGTGGCGTGATTCAAATGTGTTTTGTAATCTCTTACTGTTAAAGTAGAAGTGACTAGTAAGTGGGATAAGAGTTAGGATAGCTTCAGAACTAGTTGGGGGAATGCTAAACAGGTTAAAAACTATTTTAAACTGCAGGGATTCCCTTCATTAGGGGAAGTAGCCTATCGGCAGTCCTTTATACAAAGCTCTCTTTTGCTTTAAGAGTCTGTTTTTTTAGATACTGGCATTTTTACACACTAAAGGAACTAAGAGGTTAATGATTGGTTCCTGCTGCTGTGAAGCTTATCATTTACTATGACAATAGGATATATACCAAAGCTGAGTGGTGCCCAGCCCAGGCTGCAGGGTGAGGCCTCCAGGGCTGCGGATGAGTAAGCGCCATAAGAGATAGGGTTTGGGCCCAGCCCTTGGCAGGTGGTGATGAGAGAAGCAGGAGTAGAAGTGGAAAGGTAATGCCATTGAGGAGGAACGTGATTATAGACTGGTAGGGCCATTCCAGGAAATCTGAACTTTATCTTAGAGAAGAGCTGGGTTCTCTGAATCCTTTTATAGTTGAAAGGTGGAAATGATATGACCAAGAGTTTCTTAAAGGGGATGAACTTGGTGGTGGTGGTGTGTCCGTGTGGATGAGGAAGAGTGAAAACAAGGAGAGAATAAGGAGTTATAGAGAGTAGGCAGAATGGCAACAGGGATGAGAAGACAAAAGACTACAGAGGAAAGACTGGAACAGTTCCCTGCCTGGAGTCACAGTGTCGCAAGTGTGCTTAGTGTGGCTTTGATGTTGCCTGCACAAGTGATTAGGAGAAAGACTAAAGATGAGCCTGTAGTGGAAATTGGGTTTAGAGGAAGTTCCATTCAGATTTGGCAAGTCAGGGCAATAACATTTAGGTGAATTCTTTAGACATTTAGAGAGGGTGAAATTAAGGATAGATTTTAGGGAAGGAAATGTAAACTTTACAGTTTTTACTATAAAAACTAATAACTGGAAAACTAATAATTGGATGAATTTGAAAGGAATTAAAAAGGGGGAAAGCGTTGGAAGGAAGAGAATGATGTCAACACAGTATATACAGAGAGGAGGAGGAGAGAACTTCGAGGAAACGGGATAGTGAGCAGAGCTGTGGCAGAGCTACAAGGGAAATTGAAATCTGAGAGACCATGTGAATCCGTGATGGGCTTGGAGATGGTACTCTCAGTACTTGGATGTGGGTGGGCACTCAGACTATAGGAGCTTAAAGAATTTGCTATAATGACAAAGTAGATTTGGCCAGTGAAGAGAGTTGGGAGTACAAGGAGGGCATGTGATAGGTTAGGGAAAGCTGAGTTAGGTGGCAAAGTGATTTGGAGGAGGAGCAGTGAGTATAAGATGTGTTGTAGTTGTAGAAAGAAGTGGAGCTGTTTTTAGGGAAATGGATATTAAATCTGTCCAGAAGGGGACATGGAACTTCTGAGGGATGAGGATTTAATTCAAATCCCTCTCTTATACGTTTTGGTGACAGTGTTTGGGGCTGAGGGGAGATATATAATATATTATGTAGAAAACTTTATTTTGGTTTTTAACACTTTCATATTATTTGGATATAGTACTATATTATTTGGGGGAAATAATAAAATTAGGAGACTGGATCATTTGAAACCACCAGTACTACAAAATATCCTGTTTCATGAGTCATAAAATGTAGTTTACCTAAAATTGAGCACATGTTAGGAAAATAAATTCAGCAAAATCATATGTTTTGTTTCATGGTATGGATTTCCAAATAGTTGGAACTGGAAATAGCCATTCATTTTGTTGAGAATTAGGTGAGATGTAAAGGCAGGGGTCGGGGGAGTCAGGCACAAGTGCAGTAATGAATAGAAGGGGTTAGCCAAGCATCCCTTTCCCTTGTGGCATTGCAGTGTTTGTATTGTTCCGAGACCATGGATTGCTTCTGTCTCAACTGCAGTTATTTAAACAATTGCAAACAATAAATTCCTGCATTGGAAATAAGTAGATTATAACAGGCATTTCTTTCTGCCAGGTTCCTTTTTTTTCCCCCTTTCTGGGAATTTTTTTTTTTAATGTATATTTTTACATCATTTTTGCACAATGTATGCATTTTCATCTTGGTTATAGTCCCCGTACAATTCCCCCCCCCCTCCTGTCTTGATCTTCCTCCTTTCTCCCCCTCCCCCCGTAGTATTACTCAGCAATCAAGAAAGATAAACTCATGCCATTTGCAGCAACATGGATAGAGCTGGAAGGGATCATGCTCAGTGAAATACGCCAGAAAGAAAAAGAAAAATACTGGATGGTCTCACTCGTAGCTGGAATTTAGAAAACCTAAATAAGGGACTAGGAAAAAGACTAATTATAATAAAGTAAAAATCTTTCTGCCAAGTTTTAGGTTGATATGAAGCACTGCTTGTATTTTCTCGTAAGAATTCAAATTAAACTAAATATGAAACCAACTCAGTCATTAAATTATTCAGAATTCTGTAGGTTAAAAGTCAGATTAGACTATCAGAGTTATGGCGTTATTAACTTTTACATGATTCCTTGTTTTAAATGAAAAATAGTTTTGAAAGAACCTTGGATTTTAATTTTAGTCATTTCTGTGTTTTCTGTTGCCAGGGTTAAATGGTTTCTTTTCCTTTACTGCCTTGAGTCATTTGACTTTTAATGTTTTATGTTAATGACATTGCTTAAAATCATTGCAGACTCTGTATACAGAGACAATTCCAGAAGATGCCTTTCCTGGGAAGTTGGTCATGCAGGTCTCTGCTACAGACGCAGATATCCGTTCCAATGCTGAAATTACTTACACATTATTTGGTCCAGGTGCAGAAAAATTCAAGCTAAATCCAGACACAGGTAATGATGGAGTTCGGTTGCAAAATTAATTGTGTTCTAACAAAATTACGTGTGGGTGGTTTGAGATCACATGCAACATTTGAAATTACATTTTATTCTTGAAAATTTACTGTGGTACAAACAGAAATCGAAATGGCAATTTAATATGTAAAATGTGGTGTGAGATAACAGCAACAATATTACCAAAACCTACTTGAACCAAATACTAAATTTTAGAATTTGTTTATATCAACTTCATTTAAAAAAAACTCCGAAGTTAAAATACATTTCAAACTTTCTGCTTTATTATTTTATGTAGAACTTGTTTTCTTTCATTCCTAACCATAAGTTTATATTCAACATACTCATTAAAATGACTCAGTTATTAGTGTTTATATTGCTGGATTATTTTCTTCTTCTGATTTTATTTTGTTAAAATTGGCATCAAGTAACAGTTTCTTCTTAAGTACCCTTCCATTCACCCTAGCCCACCCTGTATTAACTGAACATATGAATCTAATTTTTGAATCTAATTTTTAGGTTAAATTTAGTAAATCAGGCAGCTGTTTTGCTTTTGTGACATGTTAGATAATGCACGAGGCCCTGCCTCAAAATTTTTGTGAATTAAAGTGCTGGCACCTGGCAGTGTGCGGGGCCCCGGAACTCACTGTATTCATAAACCTATTGACTCATTGATAAAATTGTTCTAAGAAAAGAATGTTCAGATTCTCTAATTGTAAGAGAAAATGGGGAAAAAAATAAGATGTGCTCTTGCAGTTCACATTTTAAATTACAAGTGAGTCCATTTATTTTTGTTTGTTTTTAGGTGAATTGAAAACATTAGCCCCCCTTGATCGTGAGGAGCAAGCAATTTATAATCTTGTAGTCAAGGCCACAGATGGAGGAGGAAGATCCTGTCAGGCTAATATTGTGCTGACATTGGAAGATGTAAATGATAATGCCCCTGAATTCTCTGCTGACCCCTACACCATCACTGTGTTTGAAAACACGGAGCCTGGAACGCTGTTGACGAGAGTCCAGGCCTCAGACGCGGATGCAGGTATCATCCTCATGAAGTGTGCCTGATGCTGAGCACCCACGTCTTAGGAACCTATGTCTTGAAACACATTCCAAATCCAGCTTGGCTAGCTTATCTGACCTCATGAATGTTGAATAACTCGTGGTTAGTCAGTTCCTCAGTATTAAGATAAAATGAATTCTTTAGCTTAATGAATTCATTTTTAATGAATATTTGAAGTCTCAAAATGTACCAAGTTTCTTAATGTATCTGTGGTGTTCTTAAAATTCTGGGTAGTGACTATTTTAATTGATGTTCATATCCCATTGAATTAATTACTGAAGCACTATTTTGTGAATAAACCATTAGTGACAGAGATTTCAAGTATCGAAGGAACATACTAGAAGCCAATTCAGTATTATTAATAGTTTTACATATCTTTAAATTTCTTACGGAGAAAAGACTCTAGGATATATATTTATAACATTTTATAGCAGACAATAAAAGTAATTTCTTTAGTCACACTAATAGTGAATCAGCAGAATAGCAAAAATGTTACTTTTCAAATGAAGTTTTTCACTGATGCTGAATAGTAGACTTCATTTTAAAAGACTTGGCTAGGTATTATAGCACAAGTTTCTACATAATAGTCTTTAAATGTTAAATAACTAGAAAATCATGTTTGCTTTGACTTTTTTAAGGACATAGTTATTTTAAAAAATGTATATTAGCATTTTTATTTTTTAATTTGTAATGTTTTTAAAAAAATAACTTGTTAACATTTCTTGAAATATGCTAACATTTCATGTTTTCACAGGATTGAATCGAAAGATTTCCTACTCACTGATTAATTCTGCTGATGGGCAGTTCTCCATTAATGAATTATCTGGAATCATTCAATTAGAAAGGCCTTTGGATAGAGAGCTGCAGGCAGTATACACTCTTACTTTGAAAGCTGTAGATCAGGGTTTGCCAAGAAGATTGACAGCTACTGGCACTGTTGTTATATCAGTTTTGGATATAAATGACAACCCACCGGTGTTTGAATACCGTGAATATGGTGTCACAGTGTCTGAGGACATCCTTATTGGAACAGAAGTTCTTCAAGTGTATGCGGCAAGTCGGGACATTGAAGCAAATGCAGAAATCACTTACTCAATAATGAGTGGAAATGAACATGGAAAATTTAGCATAGATTCTAAAACAGGTAACCTACCATGTAAATGACAGGAAGTCCTTTATTATGCCAAAAAGTCTAAATTGTCCAACACTTTATCTAGTATAAAGAGACAGATAAAACTCATTTCCTTTCTGTTATTTTAAGTGGGATTAAAAGTGGTTTCAGAAACTTTCAAGTTCTGCAAAGTAAAATGTTTCTTATAATATCCTTTATAAACTATAAGCAGACTCACTTTAAATAGAAATTAAAGTGTCACTCTCTAGTAGTTTTGTAAAGATAAGATGTAGTTAGTAAAGATAAAAAGTGGACGGTTGTAGCATAATGTAACTCTTTTTCATCCCTCTTATCAAACCTAATGTGAAGTAGCTTCCCAAGTGAAACCGTAGTTTCCACTTCTTTGATCTTAGTTTCTATAGGGGGCATTGTTAGTTCATGACATTGGCTTCTTTATTATACTAGCAATATGTAACATTTGAAGTACTTTGAATCTCACTTATGAATGACCACCACCAAGGTTAAAATTCAGAGGCGCTATTGACTCCTGCTGCACAAATACCTTGGTAGTCTTGTTAATATGTGATCTACAATAGCTGTAAGTTTTAAAACATTATAAACATTATAAAAAGTTCCATCCAAACTCTAATTGCATGTGACTATTTCAGATGATGCTATTTTTAAATGTATTTTTAAACATGAATTTGTTACTTTTAGGGTCCTTTTGTCCCATTCTCTTTTTAAAGGTAGTTTGGACTACAATTAAGTAAAAATGAAAGATGTTAACGGATTTTTTAAATGATAATATGTAGGAGAGGTAGCTTAGTGCTTAGTGATTGAAAAAAGATGCACATTGCTGTGAAAGAAAAAGTATGAGAAGGAAACTAAAAGTCAGAATAGTATTTTAATGTTTTTTAATTCTATTTTGTTTCTTAAATTAGAATGAAATCTATGGTGAATATACTTTGGAGGCGATCAGTGTAATTATTTTTATAGTGGGGCTGTGTAGCTATTGGTGACTGGGAAAGCAATTTATTTTTTCATTTTTTATTTTTTTAAAGATTTTATTTATTTTATACAAAAACGGGGGTACAGGTCAGAAGCATGGGAGGGTGAGAGAATTCCCCAGAGCCAGAGCGGGGAGCAGAACAGGCAGACAGACCAAAAACACTGCTGAAGGGAGCAGCAGGTGAGGCAGGAGAGGTCTGCCGCACCATGTGGGGTTCTCCCCAGCCGGCAGGGAATCAAACTGGCACTGCAGAGGCTGTAGACAGCTTTGCAGCATGGCACTCAACCGCTGCGCCACTGGGGAGGCCCAGAAGCAATTTAATTATCAAAAAAAAAACAATAGGAAAATAACTGAGAAACAAAGAAGAATCCAAGAATGGAAAAAATTGAGTATTTTAATTGCTGAATTAGTATGAAATTAGAAAACGGATGAATGATAATCTTTTGAAGTGAAATTTGTTTTAAACTCTTGTCTGTTTCACTTACAGTAGGAGAAAGAGTGGCATTTTAAATTACTGGAGTAATTTTTGTATTCTATACAGGGGCCATCTTTATCATTGAGAATCTGGATTATGAAAACTCTCACGAATATTACCTGACTATAGAAGCCACCGATGGGGGTACGCCTTCACTAAGTGATGTTGCAACTGTGAACATTAATGTGACCGATGTCAATGATAACACCCCAGTGTTCAGCCAGGACACATACACAGCGGTCATCAGTGAAGACGCTCTTCTGGAGCAGCCTGTCATTACTGTATGTATTTTATGCTCCTGCTTCTCTTCTTCTGGATCTTTGCAAGAGGTTTTTTTTTTTTTTAGTAAGATTGATCCAGCTTTTGTAGTGGTCTTATTTTGAAGGGGGTGGGGAATCTTTTGTCAGCCCAATCAGTTACTGGCTCTCTTACAGGTAGTTGCCTCAAAACAGCTATCTTGATACTAGAAATCTGTGTAATGGGTTTCTGTCCCTTCCCTAGCCATCTCCTAAACAGGAATGTGATACTTTTTAGGTTATGGCTGATGATGCTGATGGACCTTTGAACAGCCACATCCACTATTCAATTATAGACGGCAACCAAGGAGGTCCATTTACCATTGACCCATCCAAGGGAGAAGTAAAAGTAACCAAACTTCTAGACCGAGAAACAGTAAGTGAAATATTTTGGCTTCACTTGCTTACAAATTACCAAACTGATAAATACAAGTGCCCGTATTTATTGGGCATAATGGAAGAACCAGAGGGTAGAACCAACCTTATTCTCAGGAACAGATGAACGAGACAGAAATACTTGAAAAGCAGTTACATTATGAAAATCTCAAAAACATGAGAGATGTGCTTCATACTAAGATGAAGTTGGGGTAATAAAAGTTTGTTTTTAGGAAGGAATTAGCATTGGCTCCAGTGTTGAGATGCTTATGGAGCTAGAAGCTGGGTTTTAATTTTTTTTTCCATGGGAACATTATGTTTACATTCTCTGAGTTTATGGAATTACATGTCAACTAGTGGGTTTTCTATGCCAGAAATTATTGCTGATTTTTGTTAAGTGTCATAACATGGTACACAGAAATTTTTTTTTTTTTTTTTAGTAACGTGTTTTTTGGTGGTTTACAGCACTACATAAGATTGAGGGCAACAGAACACCACAACCACTACCAAAGCATCAGTAACCTCCACCATAGTCCACTGAGACTCCCTCCCCCTCACTCCTCTTTGTCCCCTCTCTGGTCTCCTCAACTCTGCAGTTACAGTTCTAGGGTTTGTTTTATATTAATTTTATTGTTCCTTTGTTTTGTTTCTCTGTGTTCCACATGCAAGTAAAATCATTTTTTTCCATTTAGTATAGTCCCCTAGAAGTTGGGTTTTAAAAAGTAGCAGAGATTTGGAAAATCTAAAATATTAAAAGAATGGAATTCTCTGCAAGAAGTTGCATGAAAAGAAGCGTGGGAAAAGAAAAACATGGGACATACTTAGGTGGTTTTGTTCAGCTTTAGTGGAATAGAGCAATCAAGGAACTGGGAGGACAAGGAAGAAAGGTTTTCAGGAACAGGTTAAGAGCCACAGATTAAGGGCAAAACCAGCATCAGATGGCCACACATGACACATAGGTGCCAAGGAGTCACTGAGTATCTGCGAGTCTTGTGCATCATGAAATGTAGACATGTTTGACGATAAGCACTCAGTGTATTTGAAGTGGTGTAACCAGGGAGGTAGGGAGACCAAGAATCTGCATGGGAAAAGTAGCGGTGACAATCAAATGTAAAGACAAACGCAGAAACTTCAAGAAGGAAAAGTTAGAATCAGCAGAGGGTGGGTGTGGCCTGCATGGAAAGTGGCAGCTTTTGGCCTGACTCATTCTTTCAGTCCTGCTGTGACTTGAGTTGCCGATAAAGATAAGCTGGGAGGTCCTCGGTATAAACTTGACACTGGGGAGGTTGTTCAGTGTTGCTTTGATACGCTGAGTTTTAAAGGAAAATGGCATATTTAAAGTAGAATTCAGGCAGTATTTGGAGAGTTTAAGAGACCCACCGGCTGGAAGTATGGATATGTACACATGCTTCTGGAGGTGACGGGGGTGTCTGTCCTGCTGAGAACAATGTGAGTAGATGAGCGGCAAACCAGCCTGAACACCATTTACACCCCAACTCCCACTCCCAGGCTGGAATGGAACTGCCGTGGAGAAGAGAAGGAAGCTCTGGTTTGAGGAATTAGGACATCGGTGATAATAATACACATCCAGAAAAATCATGGGAGAATTTAAGAGTAGAGGTGTTAGGAGAGTATTGCAATATCCCATTAAAGCCTCAATTCTTTAATTCCTTTTCTAACGTGTTTTTTTTTGAGCAGGGACTTCCCAAAAATTCAGGGGTGTGGTGGTGGTTCTTAGAATCACTGTACTTACTACTGTTGGACAGAGCAAAATGTAGTGTTTTTCACTGAAGGACTTCTCAGATATTTAATATACTAATGTCGACTGGAGGAGACAGCCTGTAGTGTTTCCCAAGCCACTCTGCTTTAAAGACCCCTTTTTGTTGGAGCATCTTAGAAGACCAAGATTCTCCAGAACAGACCAGTTTTCTGGCATTTTTCCCACCATCCTGGAGTAGAGAGCTGAACAGGGAGCTACTCTGGAAAAGAATCCACCCCCTTGATTCCATTTTTTTGGTAGAAAATTATTTAAAAAAAAAACTTGGGATTGAGAGAGTCGAGTACGGTGCTAGGGTAAAATTGATGGGACGGAGGATCTGGATTGTCCTGGGCCATTGGTCATCGGGGTGGCAATACGGAAGCAATAGCATTTAAGATTTGGTATCATTGTTTTCCCTCATCATTTGTATTACTTTTCTGCTTTACTCTGTTAATAGATCTGCACATTGTTAAAGTCAGAGCACTTTAACGCAACAAATACGTATTTGAGGGTAATAGGGGACTCTAATCAGTACTGAGCTTCTGTCACACAGTTTCTGCTTAGCAGTGAGGTTATCTGCAGAGTGTTCATTTTAGGTGGGGGAATTGTCCACAAACCGGTGACAGCACATGGTGGCAGTTACTCAGATCTGCCCTCTGCGTTGTCAGGAGTGCACTTGTGACTCAGCCCTGTTCTTGGGCCTTATGAAAATGGATACACCTTCTCCCTGTCTTGTCCCCCAAAAGATTTCAGGTTACACGCTCACCGTTCAGGCTTCTGACAATGGCAGTCCGCCCAGAGTCAACACGACCACGGTCAACATCGATGTGTCGGATGTCAATGACAATGCTCCGGTCTTCTCCCAGGGGAACTACAGCGTCATTGTGCAGGTGACCCTGGGTACTGAGGCCCCCGCTGATGCCTCCCCTGGGGACAAGCTCTCATTGGCTTCAGTTGCCTGAAACAGCTTTCTTTTCCAAAGACAACTCTACAGAAACATGGGAAAAGTAAATGGGAGGGGTCTCCATCTGTATTAAGGATGAGCATTTTAAAGATACAACCACACAACCAAGTTTTCATCTCTCTTTTTGCGCTTTGATTTGCAGATAATTTTCACGATAGCTTGATCCTTGATCTGCTGCTGCTATTACTTGTCCTTCTTGTGGGGGTAGGGGTCGGGGAGTGGTGGGCCCAAGGACCTTTCGTCCTCTTGACCTTCCTCCTCCACCTGGACTTCTCTTCCTCCTCCCTCTTGTGTCCTTTCTTGCACGTGGTCCTGGCATCCTCCTGCCTTTCCATCCTCCTCTGCCTCTCCCTTCCCTTAACCTCCATCCCCTCTCTCCTGCCCTGTCCATCATCATCCTTCACCCCTCACCTCTTTTCTCTCTGTTCCTTCCAAATGGAGCAACAGTAAGATCTAGATAATTCATCTTATATAAAATTTGCATACACGTCTTATAATAACCTGGTTTTTGTTGAAAGTTGTGTGTTTTTTGTTTTGTATTCGGTGCAGGAAAATAAGCCCGTGGGCTCCAGTGTACTGCAGCTGGTGGTAACAGACAAGGACTCTTCGCATAACGGTCCCCCCTTCTTCTTTACTATCGTGAGTGGAAATGATGACAAGGCATTTGAAGTGAACCAGCAGGGAGTCCTCCTGACTGCAGCTGCTATGGAGAGAAAAGTGAAAGATCATTACTTACTGCATGTGAAGGTATTAAAGTAGTCTTCCGATTTTATTGTGGATTCGTAGAGATGTGAGCAGCTTACCTTTCATGAGAAAACAAAATGTGCAGAACTGTGGTTTTTCTGTTGCTTACCATGGCTTCATTTTTATCCCCCTGCACGGTGAGGGACTCATTTATTCATGTGAGTATTTTATCACAGACATTGATGGAGCTAAACTTCCATATGAATTCGTGAAAGGGCTACAAAGAAGTATTTATCCTTTCCCTCAGTTTGCGTCTCACATGGAGAAATAAGCATCTTAACATGAAATAATTTCTTGGAACTTGAATGATGGAAATACAGTTTTATTAAAAAGAAGTAGTAAACGGGATAGACGAAAGTGATATTTCTTTCTTTCTTCGCAGGTGGCAGATAATGGAAAGCCTCAGTTGTCATCTCTGACATATATTGACATTAGGGTAATTGAAGAGAGCGTCTATCCTCCTGCAATTTTGCCACTAGAGATTTTCATTACCACTTTCGGAGAGGAATACTCAGGTGGTGTCATTGGAAAGATTCATGCTACAGACCAGGACATTTATGACACTTTAACCTACAGTCTTGATCCACAAATGGACAACCTCTTCTCTGTTTCCAGCATGGGGGGTAAGCTGATAGCACACAAAAAACTCGATATAGGGCAGTACCTTCTCAACGTCAGTGTAACAGATGGGAAATTTACAACAGTGGCTGACATCACGGTGCGCATCAGACAGGTAACACAGGAGATGTTGAACCACACTATTGCCATCCGCTTTGCCAACCTCACGCCAGAAGAATTTGTTGGTGACTACTGGCGCAACTTCCAGCACAATTTACGGAACATCTTGGGTGTGAAGAGGAGGAGCGACATACAGATTGTTAGTTTGCAACCCGCTGAACCCCAGCCACATCTGGATGTTCTACTTTTTGTAGAGAAATCAGGTAGTGCCCAGGTTTCAGCAAAACTTCTCTTGCACAAGATTAATTCTTCCGTGACTGATATTGAAGAAATCATCGGTGTTAGGATATTAGGTGTATTCCAGAAGCTCTGTGCAGGACTGGATTGCCCATGGAAATTCTGTGATGAAAAGTTGTCTGTGGATGAAAATGTGATGTCAACGCATAGCACGGCCAGACTGAGTTTTGTGACTCCGCGCCACCGTCGGACAGCTGTGTGTCTCTGCAAAGGTAACCTGAATAAGTAGATGCATGCAAACAGGTGCTGCAGATTGGCTCATGCACAGCTTTTGAAGGCTAAATATTAGGGGTCCATTTCTTAAAATTCCTGTTAATTAGCTCTCCCTTTCCTCTTTTTTTTTCCTTCCCCAAACAGACGGAAAATGCCCACGTATTCATCATGGATGTGAAGATAGTCCGTGCCCTGAAGGATCTGAATGTGTCACTGATCCCAGAGAAGAGAAGTACACCTGTGTCTGTCCAGGTGGCAAGTTTGGTCAGTGTCCAGGTGAGAGTTCGGCGATGAAGCACACTTTCTTTTTGAGAAGGCGCTTTCAGTGTTTTCAGATTTTCTTCTGTATGAGAGTTGAAAAATACTATAAATTTCTAATAGAGAAATGAATCAAAAAGGAAGGAAATAACTTCTTCCTGAGATAATGGTTTGATGTTCTTTATCATCAGTGCTCACATAAACATATAGTCACACATTTACAGATTTATTGGTCTTTTTCTCTCAAACAAAACAAGACAAAAGAACTAAAAGATTATCAGGTCTCAGTCCTCTATCATTTGTTTTCCCTCCACCTAGCAGCGTCAAGATCACCTTGTCCACGTACATGGAAGCTTCATACGTGGCTGCACCATCATCATTTGCAGTCCCCTCTGTATAGAGATTCAAGTTGTTATGTGTCTCTCTTTTAAAGCACATTTACACAGCTCCCCGTATGTAACTGTGCGTGCTTTCTACACACTAGATTCTAAGAGTAGGATTTACTGTGTCAAAAAATAGCTACAATTTTCCTTATTTAATGTACCACTGGTTTGTTTCCTCCAAGGTGAACCAAGTTCTCATTATGCATTCTATTACTGATATTGAAAGGTTTCAATTAAAAAACAAAATCCCTCATCTAATAGGGGGAAAAAAAATGATACCTGATTATTTCAGTGTGCTTTTCTATAGCAACTACTTTTCTGTTGTTCAGTGCCAGTAGCATTTTTTCTGTGATTGGCCTGTTCCTCTCTGCTCCATTGTCTGGGTTGTTTGTCAGTTTCTCTCTTTCTATTCATGGTGCTCTTTATGTATTTTGAGTATTAGTTTCTGTCTGTATATTTACTGATCTTTTAATAATTAGTTTTGTTATTATGAAATGTAATTTTTATTTGTCACTTCTGCATAATATTACCTAACGGTTTCTATCTCTGGAGATTGATATCATTTTCATCTTTTTTGAAGAATGGGGATAATTTTATTTCTTGCTGGAAGTTTCCCATACCAGCTTGAGGCTTTGTAAATATTTTCCTAAATTGTCTTCTAATAATTTTATATTGAACATTCTATATTTAGCTCCTTCATTATTTTAGAGTTCATTTTTCTTCCAGTTAGAGATCAGTTGTGCTAAGCTGTTTATTGATCAAATAAACATTTACCATTCAATTGAATTTTATTATAATCTTAAAATTTAAGTCAATCTCTAGGTGGGAAATTATGCTTTTAAAGCATGTTTAAACTTTGTTCTGACTTACTCTTCCCTTTTTGTGTTTTACAGGGAGTTCATCTCTAACATTTACTGGAAATAGCTTTGTGAAGTATCGTCTAATGGAAAATGAAAACAAATTAGAAATGAAACTCTCCATGAAGCTCAGAACATACTCGGCTCATGCAGTTGTGATGTATGCGCGAGGCACTGACTACAGCATCTTGGAGGTAAGTATTTGTAAGTTTGTCTGCCTCAGTTTGTGAAATACTTCAAAAATATGAATTTCACTATTCCACACTGAAATAATTCACTGATATCTATACAAGTTTTAGAAATGAAAGTCTGTGGGTTGAAAAGCGCCTCATACTCCGCAATACAGAGTCATTGCTGGTTTTCCAAACAATTTTAGATATATGAGACAGTTAACAAACGCTAGGTGACATTACACCTTATGTTATAAAAAGTTTATAGAAAGATCCTATATATGGTTAAAATAAATAGCTATCTTGCCTACTTAGTTTCTTGGTATAATTCTCAGTTTTGGCTTTTTATAATTAAATCTGATATCTGTTTTTCATTGTTAGTTAACAGGTGATTATCAGTCATTTTGAAATACTTTATGGGTATGCAATTAGCACTTGAACTTGATATCATAAACAGCCTATTTCTATTTTCTATTTAATGAGCAAAGGAGCATATATTCTGTAGTATTTAAATGCAATGCCTTGCTAATGTTCCATCTTCTATCACCTGACATACCTTTCTTTCCTTTAGAATTTTGATCAGAGGCTGTAATCAAAGATTTCATGATTGGTAAATGTGAGTGAAATTTTTTTTTTATCATAGATTCATAATGGAAGGCTACAGTACAAATTTGACTGTGGAAGTGGCCCTGGAATTGTCTCTGTTCAGAGCATTCAGGTCAATGATGGGCAGTGGCATGCAGTATCTCTTGAAGTGAATGGAAACTATGCCAGATTGGTTTTGGACCAAGTCCACACTGCCTCAGGCACAGCCCCGGGGACTCTGAAAACCCTAAATCTGGATAACCATGTGTATTTTGGTGGCCATCTCCGTCAGCAAGGAACACGGCATGGAAGAAGCCCCCAAGTTGGAAATGGCTTTAGGGGCTGTATGGATGCTATTTATTTGAATGGGCAGGAGCTCCCTTTAAATAACAAACCAAGAAGCTATGCACACATTGAAGAATGGGTGGATGTGTCGCCTGGGTGCTTATTAATGGCTACAGAAGACTGCTCGAGTAACCCCTGCCAAAACGGAGGCGTTTGCAATCCTTCACCCACTGGAGGTAGGCTTCATGCTATGTTGGTTCTTAAAAGTGAAACATGGTTGCACTGGGGGGAAGTTCCCCAAGTTGTTTTAGTTTTTCTCTTTTTCAAAATGCTGTCAGAAACTGGAGTCAGTGTTAGATTTGAGTGATATAATCCCTGTTAAACCCAGGGCTCAGGCTTCTTCCCCGCAGCCAGTCTGGGGGAACTGACTTCTGAGTCCCTGCAGTCACATTGCAGGCACTTGAACAGGATGGATGTCCTGATGGGTCTCCATCTGCTCCAGTAACCACTGCAAACACGGCCAACTCGGAACTCTTGCAACAACCGCATGACACGGACCCCGAGGGATTTAGAACTAGTGCCACTTAGTTCTTTTCATCTGATTAGTCAGCCCATAGTGGCTGCTGGAGTCTTACTAGCAATAATAGATGGACTGATTTTTTCAAAAGCCCTGAGCCCTGCTCAGTTGTCGCCCTACCTGTCTTGAAGCCCTGACACGGTGGAATACTCTGTGGTTTCTGGATCCTGACCCTGTTTGGTCACTTACCAGTGATAGAACACAGATATGAAAATGCAAGTTGTCATGCCTGATAAGTAGGGCATGAGTAATTAATAGAGCAAAAATCAAAATAATACTCTCATTAAGAAGGATCTCAAATGATTTGGTTTTCAAGTGCAAAAGGAAGCCTGATTAGCTACACAGTAATACTCTGAGCAAAAGTGTACATTGCACTCAGTTTCAGGTCCAAGTCAGATGGTGAGTGGGGGTTTGGTTGCTGTGCTCACTGTCAGTCAGGGTTGAGCTGAGGAGCCATTTTCTTGAAATGTCCTGCCATTACCACATTCAGCAGCAGGAGGGAGGTAACGTGGCCGCTACATGCTGCTCCTCACGCACCTAAGAAAAACCCACGGCTGAGACCAACCTCAGGGGTCAGAGAAGCACAGCCCCATCATCTTCCCAAAGACAGACAGTTGGGCACAGACCACCCCACTGCCTCATTGCCCTGGTCCTCACACAACAACGAGTCTGACATTATTTATGTTCCTTTGACATACTTGATGATCATGATCACCTTTCTTTAGTTTAAATGCTATTTTATAGCCTCCAAGTTTCTTTCCCATTCATTATTTCATTTAATCTTTTAAAATTTTTTTAAATTTATGCATACAAGAGCTGGGGTATAGGCCAGAGATATGGGGGTGAGAGGATTCACCAGAGACAGAATGGGGAGCAGAACAGGCAGACTGACTGAAATACACTGCTGAGGGGCGCAGCAGGCAAGACAGGAGAGATCTGCTGCGCCATGTGGCAATCTCCCTGGCTGGCCGGGATCGAACCCATGCTGCGGAGGCTGCAGACAGATTCATAGGACTGTGCTCAACCCACTGCACCACCGGGGAGGCACTAACTTTTACAAGTCTTGGAGAACTGAATCATCACTTGAAAGTAAAGCCAATATACTAAGACTCTTTTTTTGTTCTTCCATTTTTGAATGATAGAACTTTCTGTTCCCTTTTGCTAATTTAGGTTATTATTGCAAATGTGATTCCTTGTTCATCGGGACATACTGTGAGGTGAGCGTCAATCCGTGCTCTTCCAACCCATGTCTTTACGGTGGTACATGCATCATGGACAATGGAGACTTTGTTTGCCAATGTAGAGGATTATATACTGGTCAGAGGTATGTATGTTCTTCTCGACTTTAATAATTTAATTACAAGATCAAAACTTTTTGAACATGCAGTTATACATGTGAAAAGTCTCATCTTTTTTTTTTTGCTATATTTGTATACAGTACAAGTCTTAGGTTTATGTGTGTTTTTTCCTTATTCCTCAGGTGCCAGCTTAGTCCCTACTGCAAAGATGAACCCTGTAAAAATGGTGGCACATGTTTTGATAGTTTGGATGGTGCTGTCTGTCAGTGTGATTCAGGTTTTACGGGAGAAAGGTAACTTTTTTGTTTTTTGAAGATTGATTTATTTATGCATACAAGAACTGGGGCACAGGCCAGCGGTTTGGGGGATGTGAGGGTTCACCAGAGACAGAGTGGGAAACAGAACAGGCAGATTGACTGAAATACACTGCTGAGGGGAGCAGTGGGCGAGTCAGGAGAGGTCTGCTGTGCCATGTGGGTAGCTCCCTGGCCAGGGATCGAACTCGTGCTGCAGTGGCCACGGATAGCTTCATAGCTTGTGTCTTAACCCCTTACGCCACCAGGGAGGCCCGGTAACTGACTTCTTTTAAGACTTATTTTTACATCTCTCTGTGGTGTCCTAGTGCTTACCAGCTGCTACAAACATCACTAATTTGGAGTCATTGCTTCAGAATTTGTTATTCTTATATTAGTTCTTTTCATTCTTTAAAAGACTAGTGAGCACATGACTGTAATAATCATTGAATAGAGATATTTTTTATATGGGTTCTTGCAGGCAGTAATTGTGGCATGAGATTATTAGGTTTTTTTTTAAAGCAGGTAGGTACCCATGGAATTGTGCTTTTTCTGAGAATGATGATGATGACTTTAATAATAAGCTATAATTAGCATTCACATAGCATCTAGACACCTTTTTTTTAAACACCTCATTTATTTTGTAATCCTTACCATAATTCTAAAAAGTGATAATTATTTTTCAGGTGAAAAAAAAAAATGAGGAAAGGAGGTTGTCTATTGTATACCCTGAAAGGTGGAAGAAAGATTTTACTTCCAGATGCCATTTCACTTTACACTTTCACCATTTCAGTTAAAAAAAATTACTCAGTAGGCATTGTTTGTAACTGCCTGGTTCTGAGCTCCACCCTCACTCTCCCTGATGTAGAAAGTGTTATCGAGACCTGATGGCAGGCGGGGTTTGCTCTGACAGTGTTTGTGGTCTTGAGTTTTGCCATCAGTCACATGGTCTTAGCTCATACGTGGAGTTTCCTAGTTCTAGTCAATTAATACCTAACAGATTTGACAAAAATGTCTCAGTGATCAAAATCTTAGTTCTAGGTGAGTGCAGAGAGGTGATAAAGTAGATATACTTTATTAATGGGGGGAAGGTTTGAGACGAGGCAAAGAGAGGCATGCAGGTGCAAAATATGCCCCTTTGGAAAGGTGGTGGGGGGAGGGGACTTGCACAGAGGCAAGGAGTCAGGAAAGGTTTTCAGTCGGGCAGGAACGTGCTTTAAAATGGAAAACAGGGTTTTCTTGCCTTTCTCATGTTTTATGGAACTGTCATATTCCCAAACAGGAACATTTTCTTAGAAATTCTTAGACTAGTTTTATAGCTTACCATTTATCAAAATGAACATTCCAAACTTTTGAGTCAGAATTAGAAAACCAACTGATGTTTAGTCTTGATTTTGATTTGGTAATCTGGTTGAATCTTGGACTAATGGTAGTTATATTGGTGTGACATGATGTTTATCTTCTAAATGCACATTTGAAGCATAGAATCCAATGATTAATTACATAAGGTTTATTTATTACAGTTATTGTTGATAATGTGTTTTTTTGATTACTATTATTTAGCTTGGTTTTGGGCATTTCTTACTAAGAAGGGATGAGTCTTTCAGAATTACAGGCAGAGCATATTCTGACATTGCAAAGGTCTTGCTTCATTCTTGGTTTTCTTGGCAGGTGTCAGAGTGACGTTGATGAATGTGCTGAAAACTCACCCTGCCATAACGGGGCCCTTTGTGAGAACACACATGGCTCCTACCACTGTAACTGCAGCCAGGAGTACAAAGGGAAGCACTGTGAGGATGCTGCTCCCAATCAATACGTGTCCACGCCGTGGAATATTGGGGTGGCTGAAGTAATAGGGATTATTGTGTTTACAATGGGGATATTTTTACTGGTGGTGGCCTTTGTTCTGTGCCGCAAGATGATTAGTCGGAAGAAGAAACATCAGGCCGAACCTGAAGACAAACATTTGGGACCAGCCACAGCTTTCTTACAAAGACCATATTTTGATTCAAAGCTAAATAAGAACATATACTCAGACGTACCACCCCAGGTGCCAGTCCGTCCCATTTCCTACACTCCAAGCATTCCGAGCGACTCTAGAAACAACCTTGACCGAAACTCTTTTGAAGGATCTGCTATCCCAGAGCATCCTGAATTCAGTACCTTTAACCCCGAGTCTGTGCATGGACACCGGAAAGCCGTGGCTGTCTGTAGTGTGGCCCCAAACCTGCCTCCACCACCCCCTTCCAACTCACCTTCTGACAGCGACTCCATACAGAAGCCCAACTGGGACTTCGACTATGATAGTAAGAGACTTTCCATGTCAGTAGCATGTCACACAGCTCAGCAGTGAGATTGCAAGCTCTGCCAGTGAAAATGGGGAGTTTAGGTCGATATGTTTTAATTAAGTATTCTGGAAAGGTTTCATTTCTGTAACTGATAGGGGTTCTCAACTATAATTTCTTGGGCTTTTTTTTGACAAAAATATCAGGAGGGCATTTGCATGTGAGGCTTTTTCTTAAAACATAGGCAGAAGAAGAGATAATATTTATATCAGTGGCTTAACAAATTCTTGGCGCTTTCTAAAAAACTGCATGTGCTATTTAAACAAAATTCTAATTCCTTACATTGTCTGACACAGCCATAGATGGCTTTACTGAGAAATCCTGTTCTTTGAATCTCCAAGAATATTTTTAGGGTTTTTTTTCTGGCTTGTTTGGAGGGAATTTAAAATTCTGTTTCTCATTGTTTTCTTCTGCTTTCTTTCTCCTTTTATTAAATCTCAGGCAGTCTGGTTGTGCTTGCTATTAAATCTCAGGCACTGTCAGGAGACAGCAGTGAACAAAGCAGATTCCTTGCTCTCATGGAGCTTACTGTTTGTCATCTCTTCCTTTTAGCTAAAGTCGTGGATCTTGACCCCTGTCTCTCCAAGAAGCCTCTAGAAGAAAAGCCTTCTCATCCCTACAGCACCCGGGAAAGCCTGTCTGAAGTGCAGTCCCTTAGCTCCTTTCAGTCTGAATCGTGCGATGACAATGGTGAGGAAACAATTTTGAAATGCTGTGACTAGCTGGCTTGTTCTCAGTGCTGTGCACATGATGTTCTAGAATGTTGTGGATACACTCTCATGCCCCTGTTAAATCTCCAAATGTTTTCACCTTTCACTTTACATCACTTTTAAATACCCCGTACATACTTGCATGAACATCTGTTGGGGAAAATATTTAAAGTGTTCTTAGTGGGCAGGTATTTGAACAGTAGCAACTTGTCAGTAATAGGGTTGAAAATATAGTTAATTGAAAGATGATTTTTTTTTACCTGATTGAGATTGACTAATCTGATAGTAACTTTTTTTTCTACAACAGCAAATGTTATACAAGTTCTGTGGATTTTTTAGAAACCCTTTTAATTTTCTTGAGCATGTGCCACACTCACATCCACTCATTCACTAATTCACACTCACTCCCTCACACACTCCTAAGAGGAGATGTACATTCTGGAATGTTCACCTTCAGAGGCACCTTTGGTATTACAAGGTCTTATTTATCTCTTCCCCAACTCCCCTGCGGCCCCAGCTCCCATTTGGATCAGAGCGTACTGACTGAGAGCACAGTTTAAGAACTTGCTAGTAAGTTTGATTATGTTTCTAATGAAGAAGGTGTGATAGTGGGGGTCTTTGATGCGAGTTATATTAATCTGATTTCTCTAGGGTGACTTGCTTTGCTATATTAACACGTAACAGTGGAGAAAATTGTCAATGATTAGAAACTGAGTTTTCAGTGGAAATTTTTGAACTTCAGAATTAGTAAGTTTAATATTTTTGCAAAAAAAATGTGCATTTAACATTTCAGATATTTCATGGATGGAAAGAAATAACCCACTGATAATTATTTGATTGTTTCCAACCAGAGCAATATGTAGTCCATACGGCAGTCTTTTCCAAAGGGCAGAGATGGCCATATGTTCCATTCAGTTCTAATTTTAAGTATGTTATGTATGATACCAAAGAATACCCATTTATCATTTAGTGATGGAATATATGAACATAGCTTTGTGTATTAAATCAATGACACAGTAGTGTTATACCTCTTATTGGGTTTAATTCTAAAACTTCAGTGTTGCCAGTTCACACAATAATTTATATTCTAGTCCCTAAATGCTCTTCATAAATACATCTCAGCATTTTATCAGCCTTTCCTTTTTCTGTGCTTTTCCTTTGAATATCATTCTTCTTAGTACTCCATAATGTACCTTTAACAACTACAGTCAAATTAGTTATGAAAATTAATTGCCAGATAATAATAATGTGAGAAGAAAACATATCCAAGAGAATTTGCATTTTAAACTTTATCATCATTTTAGTCATTAGCATTTGTGAAATTACATTGAATCTACTTAAATTATATTTAAGTTTTCTAAGGCTGTTAAAACAGATTATCACAAACTTTGGCTTCAAGGAAGATAATTTATCACTCTTAGAGTTCTATGGTTTAGAAATTTAACTCTTGTCTCAGTAGGCTGACATTAGTGTGTCAGCAGGGCTGTGTCCTCTCTTGAGGCTCTAGGGGAGGAGACTCTGTTTCCTTACTGTTTCCAGCCTCTAGAGGTGCTCATGCTCCTTGACTCAGAGCTTCTTCTTCCATCTTAAAAGGCAACAGAGTCTCTGCCCGGCCATTTCTCTGTAGTCTTAGTTCCCTCCCAGCAAAGTTGGGAAGGAATCTGCCCTCTAAGAGGCATTGAGATTACATTGGGCCCACACAGATAATTTGGAAAAATCTCCCCATCTCAGGATCTTTAACTTAATCACATCAGTACAGTTAACTGTTCCTGCGATGTTAGCATATTCACAGGTTGCTGCGGTTAGGAAGTGGACATCTCTGAGGACCATCTCTCCACCTGCCACATGCACATGTGTTTGTCTTGGCAGAGGTGCTTTAAAACAACCTCATAGACAAATGAAAAGGGAATTTGCACAGGAAGCGGCCCGGCAGACAGTCTGCATTTCTCTGCTGGTGTGTTAGCTCGCCAGCTGTTAGCCTGTCTGCAAGAAAGGCAAGAAATTTGGGGTGGAGGACATAGAAGAGACAAAGCCATTTTTGGATTCTTACTGCATATTTTACCTTATTATGTAGCACTTTAAATTCCTTTTTTCTGGGTTTAGCAAGTGTTAAACTCCTCAAATGTGGAAGTCTTTTGCCCACGCGAAGTTAAAGTAAGGATTGTTTTGTTGTGTCTTGATCTGTAACTGTACTTGTGGAAAAATTTGGTAGAGCTAAAATAATTTTCCTACATTACAAGTATAATGTAGGCAATACAATATAATGTATTTTGTTCCTGTGAAGAATAATAGCAAATATTGTTTGATTAGAACTCACTCTGAAACATAACTTACAAGCAGGGGTACAGGGTTTTGCATGATTATATTATGTAGTTACGTTAGTTCACATTTTAAAATTCTGAAGTAGAAATTGTGTAATTAAATCCTATTTAATGCATTTTTTTCTGACTAAAGAATTTTCTAATTGACTCATTTTTGTGCCTTTTTGCAAGCTTCCATAGTGACTGTAATACACCTTGTCAATGCGGTAGTTGACACGGTGACTAAAGAAGGTACCATTGCGTGTGCTCGGTGTCCGTGCGTGCTGCCTGAGCCCTGGGGTTATGTGCTTTATCCATTTTCATGTTGTAAAAAGTAGCTTGTGGTTTGGAAGGAAGGGGGTGCGTACTTTTGTTTCCTGCAGGTGTGTATATTCATAATTTAGATCCATTGCAAAAATGTTCTATAAGTGATGTCTTTGTGTTACTTTTCCATTTGTGGTGATTTACACAGATACCAGAAGTAACCCCTAAGAATCCTGACAACTGGTATTTACATGGCACAATATTGAGAAGTTTAGTAGTAATTGTAGCTATTTGTCCCCTAAAATTTCAAAACAAGAAATTCTCTTTATATGAATAAGAGTAAAGCTGTTACTCAATTACCTGTAGTTGACCTTTCACTTTTGGATTTTCTCTGAGCATGATTAAGGGAAACAGTAGAACATGATAGAAGGTGTATTTTCTTATTTAATGAAAATCATCTAATATGAAGTCATAACTATGTGTTTAAAATTACAAGAAACAGCATTGACCACCTCCCTTGAGTTGTTTTAGATTAAATTAGCCCTTTACTGCTGTACTGGAATTTGAGGTAATCACGTGCAAATCGCACAGGCGAGTAGCCTTCAAACTATAAATCAGATTGTCTGGGGGGGCTTGTCGAAAGCCCAATTTGCTGTACCCCAGCCTCTAACTGTCTGATTGAATAGGACTGGGTTGTACCCTGAGAGTTGGCATTTCTAACAAACTCCTAGCTTGTTTCGATCTAAGGATCACACTTTGAGAACTAATGGCATAGAGTATCCAGGGTACATAAAGTTTAGGGGATCCAAAGTCAGGATTGAGAGAAGAAAAAGAATGGTTTTGTGCCACATTTGATGGAGGAGGGCACTGTGAGGTTTCGGTGTTAGGATCCCATTTACTGGTGAGACATTTATTTACCGTGTTTTATGAATCAGAAAGTAATCTGTAAAGTTGTCTTGTGATTTTTAGTTTTTACATGATGAGATCTTAATAGCTTAAATATTGATGAGAGTTTAATATAAAAGCCAAATTTAAGCACTTCAGTTTCCACTGAAAAATAATTTTGTAGCATATATAAGAAATGTAAATGGAATTTAAAGTTCAGAGCAGGTTTAAATTTTAAGAATTACTAAATGCCTATTTAGTAACAGGAGTTGTTAATCCTTTTTTTAAGAAGGAATTACTACATTTTTAGTTAACTAAGAAACATTTGTAGATAACATATTAATTAAATTTTACCTTATTCATTTTTTAGAGACACTAGAGGCCTTTCAGTTTTTACTTTTAATTCCTAAGTGAGAACATCAGTCAGATCTTATTTGTTCCAAATTACTTTATTATGTAGTTTTCAACAACATCGTAGATTGTGCAGAAAGCAGCCTTGTTTAGAAAAGCACTGAGTGTATATATTTGTGCCAATGATTACAAATTTCACAGTAGTAAGGATCATGACCACATCTAGCAGTTAATGGTTTGTATTTAACCCTATATCTTTATATTTAACCCTATATCTAATTTACTCAGGGATTTCTACCCCAGTCTCAAAGGTAACAACCTGAAACTCAGCCCAGGGTAAGCTCCCTGCCAGGCTCATGTGACTCTAACAGTGGAATTTGCATCTACTTTCTCTGACTTCTGCTGGTGCCATAAGTTCATTTGTGAATTCCTGTAAATTTAGTATATACTTGGACACAGTAATGTGCCACAAAGCCTGTGTGTTATGCATTTTTAGATGTATGGGATTATCACCTAAGGAACCTGATGCTACCGAGTCCTTAAAATACGGATTTCATGAAGTTTCACAGTAACATGAAGATATAATTTTAATTCCTTATTAATTTACATTTTATAAGAACCTGTAAACTGTGTTTTAGTTACTCCTAACAAAATTCTGTGTTTCATGGTTTAGATTGCCAGAAACAAGGAAAAGAAAGTAAAATAATGTCTTGTTTCCTGGCAAGGTCTCTAGTTGACCATCATTCACTCATCTTTTTTCTCCACTCCCATGTCCCATTTTATTTGTGCTGCATAAATTTATGAACCATTTGGAGTTTTCATAGATTATGGCTGACTAGGCCTTGAGAAGCAGTTTACATTGTATTATGTACTTACGTTATTGCCTTTTCAGCCATCTGTTTTAATTTTAAATGTTTTCTTTTCTCTCTACTCTGCCACCAAAAGAGTCTTTGGCTGCTCCTGACCTCAGCAAATCAAGAGGTGACTTATGCATGCCAGTTGTTCATTCATATTCACTAAAAAAAAAAAAACTCAGTAGATTTGCCCCTGGTGCTGACTTGCTTCACTTGTTTGCTCAGTGAATGCTGCAGTAACTAAGTCCATAGTTGTTTGCGCATTGCATTTTAAACATGTATTGCCTCACCTTTTCCTGTCAAAGGATTTCAAAATCTTAAGGGGGGATGGGCTGGCTATCCCTGAATTGGGAGGCTTTTTGAAAAAATAATTATGCTTTTATGACCCTTATGCCTTTGAAGGTAACAGAGATTGATGTTGTAGCCTATCACAATTTTTGTGATATTTCCCAATGTTTGATTGCATTCTGCTTGGTTGTGAGGCATGCTTGCATACGTACCTGTGTTATTGTAAGTCATTATTTTACTTAGGGCTGTGGAAAATGTGTGCCGTTTTTAATGTTAAGCTTATTATATTATTATGAAAAAATTTTTAAAAAACATTAGCATGTTAAGATTACTTTTACTGGATGTGTTGTATCATTTTTTTTTTTTTTTTTTTTTAGTGACAGGTAATGTAGATCAAGTGACATTTGATATTTTACTGAAAAGAAAATGTTCTAAGAGGAAACCACTACTCTCTTCCTATAGAGCAACACATTCTAAATTACAAAAGGGAGATGGAAAGGCTGATTGGGATCATTTGTAGAAAGTGCATGTAATTTAGATGCTAGTATACTGTTTCTGTTAAAACTTTTCATTTCTTTCAGTGTTAGGTATGGACACAAAACTAAGTCCATGCTTTAGAAATATGGCCTAGTTCATAGAGGTTTCTCAAAACTGGGTTGGGCTGCGAGGATTGTTTAAAGCTAAGATGGAGGGTCTCCTAAGCGTTGAGCCTGAGTTATGTGTGAATGGCTTTGCCCTGTGCGTGCTGGGTTTGCATGTGCCCCAGACACTCAGGAGAACGCACACTGACACCTGTTGTCTTCTTTCCTACCAAGGGTATCACTGGGATACATCGGATTGGATGCCAGCTGTTCCTCTGCCAGATATTCAAGAGTTCCCTAATTACGAGGTTATTGATGAGCAGACACCCCTGTACTCAACTGACCCAAATGCCATCGATGATACAGACTATTACCCTGGAGGCTATGACATTGAAAGTGATTTTCCGCCTCCCCCAGAAGACTTCCCTGCTCCTGATGAACTACCACCTTTGCCTCCTGAATTCAGTGATCAGTTTGAATCCATTCACCCTCCTAGAGACATGCCTGCTGCCGGTAGTTTGGGCTCTTCATCAAGAAACCGGCAGAGGTTCAACTTGAATCAGTATCTGCCCAATTTCTATCCCGCCGACATGTCTGAACCTCAAAAACCTGGCACTGGTGAGAATAGTGCTTGTAGAGAACCCTACACCCCTTACCCTCCGGGGTATCAAAGAAACTTTGAAGCCCCCACTGTAGAAAACATGCCCATGTCTGTGTACGCCTCCACAGCTTCCTGCTCTGACGTGTCGGCGTGCTGTGAAGTGGAGTCTGAGGTCATGATGAGTGACTATGAGAGCGGAGACGACAGCCACTTTGAAGAGGTGACAATTCCACCACTAGATTCGCAACAGCATACGCAGGTCTGACGCGCAGACTCCCCCCAAAGTGCCTGGACTTTAATAACCCTAGTTATTATATAAATGATCCTCTGCACTGTTCTCTGCCGCAGTGCGCCGCGCTTCTCCTCTGTGAGCTAGAATGGGCATGGCTGCACTGTGCCACGCGCCTCTGGACCTTCAGCCATTTCCAGTGTCCTAACCTACTGTAATCGGATGAGCTTTATGTTGGCTGTGCCACTTCCTAACATCTGTCTGGATTACATTTGTCTGTGTTAAAAATAATGAAATGAAAATCAGCCCTGCCATCTTGTTAGCATGATTCGTGTATTTATATAGATTTGATTATTTTAATTTTCCTGTCTTTTTTTTTCTGTAAATTTCATGTACAGTTTTGATTTTTCATAGTTTTAAGTAGATTTCCAAGATACTTTGTGCTTTTATTTTTGACCGCATTTTGGTGGTGTTAGCATCATCATCTAGCACCCTGATTTTTTTTTTTTATATAACCAGGGTTTCACACTTTGTCCTTTTTCCACTGAAGTATGACATTTCATAAGTACATTTCAGTAGTCATTTATTTTTAGCTGTACATAGGATGAGAAAGATCCGATACATGGACATGTCTTAAATGGGTTGCTGTATTTTAGAATTATAAACATTTTTCATTATTGGAAAGTGTAACGGGGACCTTCTGCATACCTGTTTAGAACCAAAACCACCATGACACAGTTTTTAAAGTGTCTGTATATTTGTGATGCAATGGTCTTGTAAAGGTTTTTACTGAAAACAACCATTAGCCAGTCTTTCTTACTGACAATAAATTATTAATAAAATACTTTAGCTTACTGTCTATTTTTCCTTTGTACTTACTCTCCTGTTCAGGATTCAGTTGCTGAATTGAGAAAGAAAAATGAATATAAAGACAGGTTGTCATGCGAAAGGTCTCTCTCTAGTGGCCAAAACGAGACTGTACCTACAGATGTAGCCACAAGGTGGCAGTTTATAGCTGCTTGATACTTCTCAGAACTAGAGGTATAAAGGTAAACAGGGGTTCATATATATTACACATTTTCTAATTAAAATTTCAAGAAAATTTTCTTTATACAGTTATTTATTTTATTTCTATATATTGGCCATAATTTAAATGCTATTTTTGACACGATTTATTATAAAAAGTCTGAAGCATTTTATCTATTTCTGTTATCAAAGAAAATATACATTTCTGTGACTTAATGTAAAATCCAGAAGCTGTTTTCTCCAGGCTACTTTAAACAGTCAAAATCTGTCTAACACATCATTCTGTATTTATTCAGTACCCATCCATTGTGATTCAATTACAAAGAATCAAGGTTTTTTTTTTTTTTTTTTTTTAGAACTTTGGAAAGATTTTTCCCCTTTCATTGGATACCTCTACTTATTTTATAAATTATATATATATATAAAACTTCAACATTAATGAAATCTAAAATACATAAAGGAAATCCACACACTTCCACATAGCCACTTACAACTGTAGCTGCTTTTCTCATCTTTTCCTTTTTATTTTATATATTTCCTTTTTATTTTTATATTGTTATTTCCTGAGTCACTCATTTTGGGATGTATCTATTGACTCAACGTGATGTTAGAGGAAGGCCATATAACCTCCTAAACCTCCATGACCTGTGTTACCCTCCCATTATTTACAGCGTAGTTTTACAGTGTCTTCATGTCAGTATTCACAGCTAAGGAGTATATGATGCTTATTTCCATTTACTTTATGACTTTCTTAAACAGTTGCCTCAATTTATCTTTTTAATTAAACTTTAGCGACTATTTCATTAACTTATTCAAGTGTTTTTTGGTCACCAACTTTGTATCTACCATCTTGGATTTTACATGGAGTGAGAGGAGCAGCGTGGCAGGAGGAGATGGTCAGTAAATAGAAGTACATAGCAGTGTGTGGAGTGCTGAGAACCGAGGAGAGAAGGTGGTACAGAGAAAGGAGGGGAGGTTGAAATTCTGAGAGGAAGGAAGAGCCTCAATTACAAACTGGTATTTGAAAAAAAAAAAGCTGAATTAATGAGGGAGAGTGCCATGTGGCTCTCTGGAGAGTGAGTGTTCCAGGCAGAGAATGGCTGATAGGAAAGCCCAAAGTTGGAGTGTGACTGCAAAGAATTAATAGAAGAAAAAGAAGAGAGACAAGTGTGGACTATCATCCACTTGTAAGATAACTACTAGCGGTGAAAACGGTTAGAAGATGTATTGGTTCCACTTTTCCCATGGACATAACCCTTCCTCCTAAAGTCAGTGCATGATGATTGCTGTTTTTCAATATATTTTTGTTGCCACAATAGGAACGTTACATTTTATTTTTTTTTTTTTTTTTAAGAATTAGTCCTTTATTGTAAGATTTTTGTTATTTTTACATAGGAGAACTGGGGTGTGGGCCAGAGGTATAGAGGGTGAGAGGATTCACCAGAGACAGAGTGGGGAGCAGAACAGGCAGATCTATTGAAATACACTGCTGAGGGGAGCAGCAGGTGAGACAGGAAGGGTCTGCCACGTCATGTAGGTAGCTCCCTGCTGGGGATCAGGCCGCTTTGCCTGCAGGTCCTTCACAGCGGTAGCACTGAGTAGCGCCTAGGCACCAGGGAGGCCCTGGTTGCCCTCTTGAACCTCTATGCAACTGGCGCTCTGGGATTCCATGTCATCCCAGATATTCCCCTTACCATGATCCATGGCTTCTCTTGATTTCACTCTGGTTTTACTGAAGAACGTCCATCAGTTATTATCTGAGGCATATGGGAGGTCATTGTTACATGAGTTGTATTTCTGAAAATGTACTGGATTCTCATACTTGATTAATAGACTGGGTACAGATTTCTGGTTTAGAGGTAAATTTCAGTTCAGAATTTTGAAGTCATTAAACCATTGTCCTCTGACTTTCTCTGTCACCATTAAAAACTCCATTCTTATTCCTATTCCAGTTTTTTCTTTATGACCTAGTGTCACTCAATTCTTTTGGGATACTCTTTTGAGGACATTTTCGTATCTTCAACTCCATGGGTTTTCCTGTCACACCTGGGTGTGTTTTCTTTCTCATTGTATCAGGTAATCTGTTCTCACCATGAGGACACAGTTTGGGAAATAGTGTGTCCTATCTTTGATAAATACTCCCTTCTGTTTTCTCAGATCTCCTGCAACTCATTTTTATAGGCTATTTGACTTGCCAAATTGATTTTCTAATTTTGGGGTTTTTTTGTCTGTACTGTTTAATTTTTCTTTTTCTTTTTCTTCCTCCAACAAACCATCATGCCCACACCCCATCTGCCTCCCTCCACCACCCCCTCACCCTTTCCCCTATTTGCTGCGGGAACCATTATCTTTTTGCCAAGTTCCTGTACCTTCCCCAAGAAATTAAACTTTTCCTAGAATGGGATAATCCTAAAATGTGGCGATGCACCAGGGTGCCCCAGGAGGCTCACTGTTAAAACGAGTGTTGTGGGTTCCAATGCTCTGTTCACTCCCCTTCACAAACACTCTAGGTTAAGTTGTAGGAAATCGGTGCTTTGAGTTGCCAGAATGGCCTGCCATGAAATTCTGCCTCCTGCTATGTATTGATAATTAAAGCACAAATGGGTAACCGGGTTGTCCACAGAGATGGAGAGAAGCTTTGACAATTTGAGTTCTTTCCCTTGGGATGTCTGAGCATGTCGGGAAACGAGATGCATCATGCAAACTGGAAATGACCACCTGTCACGTAACTAAGGCTGCCCCGCCGCTCAGCTGCACCAGGCACGTGCCCAAAGCAATGCAAGCCTCCAGCTTCAGGGTGCAGTTTGCTGTCAGAATCGGAGGCTGCAGCTGTGTCCTGTGATGCCCGGGCCCCTCCCAGCTACCCCCAGCACTAGAGGGTCTGCATCAGGGAACTCAGGATAATCCAGCTCCCTGTGGGTTTATTTCTATGAAAATAAAATCTAGACAAGAACTGGCTCATCTTGAGCCTTGCCGTGGTGCAGGGGTTCAGTCTCAGCACTATCAAGCTATTGCCAAACACTGCCAGCCATGAGTTCCATCCCGGGCCAGGGAGCTACCCACATGGCGCGGCAGACCTCTCCGGTCTCGCCCACTGCTCCCCTCAGCAGTGTATTTCAGTCAATCCGGCTGTTGTGCTCCCCACTCTCTGGTGAATCTTCTCACCACCACCACACCATGTACTTCTGGCCTAGACCCCAGTTCTTCTATGCATAAATAAATCTTTAAAGAAAGTGGATCATCTTTACAACATAACCTGTAATTTGGATTCAATTTCAGTAAGGTCGTATAAATTTTATGTTTAGGTTTGTAACCTCTCAGACCTAGAGAACTATCCCGACCCCTCACCTGCGGCCCCTGAGTCTTTAATAGCTGGTGGGCTCCCCTTTAGTGGCAGGCTCCTCGTCACCCAGTCCATGGTGTTTGTTCAGCAGCTTTCGGAAGGTCACGGAGCTGCTTGCTTTTCTGTGGACTTTCTGATTGCTGTTCCCCAAAGGCGTGAGGTTCAATTTCAATTAGTGCAGCAGCTGAGCGACAGAGCTGTTTGTCAGAATTTCATTTCCTCGCTAGCGGTTTACTGCCTCTGCAGCAGACAGAATGAGCACTTGAAGAGAATGACATGGTTTTTTTTTTGGTCATGAAAACCTCTGTTTGTGTGAACAGTTAGGTAATGAATGCGCTTGTCCCTGCGCTGTTAGAGAGGGAGCCGAGGGAGAAGCTGCATTTTCAAATGATGCTGGACAAGGGAGAAAGCAAACAGGAAATGCATTTGAGTGGAAGTTGTTGGGCCAAATCTATCTTATGAAGAGCTAACAGTGCAGAGTCGAAGTAGGTGAGATGATAATAGTGTAGTCAGTGATTCCCAGTCTTAGCCACTGCCCATTTATTTCAAGGGGTAAAATTACTTCAATTCATGCTAATGTTTATGGGTGCTGCCTAACAGTTTGGGGGCTGGGGTGGGATATAGGAAGAGGAAGAAATAATCTCAGAGGGTGTGTCAACCCCTCAGGCCCGTCAAAGACAAACACAGCTCCTCTTTGCCATGCTCGAAATGTTAGACCACCTGCAAATTAGGGTTGCAAGCACTTTCCAATGATGCTCTTGTTTTGTGATTTATGGTTTTAAATTTGTAACTTAAATCATTGTTTTTCTCTTTTTTGCAAGTGTAGACATGCTTAAATAGATGTTTTCAGTTAGGAGGGACAAAATAAAACATACACGAAGAGGTGGGATTCCATAAATCTGAATCAATACAGTGTTGAGGACCAATGCTACCAGAATAAAAAAATGATTAAAAAAATTCCTTTGAATATTTAAAATTCAAAAACTCCAACTCAAAACTCATTGGACTGAGGTTGTTTGCTTTTAATAGTATTAAATTCTCTAAAGTAATGAGTTTTTATTTCCAATGGGGACTTTCACAACATTTAGAATGGCCAGAGGTCATTGAAAACCAGGGTTCCTACATTTAATCTCTATGCCATAGTTCTGGATCATGCCAGGCTTCTGGAGATGTCCTCACAATGAAGGACAGGCTGGGTGCGTTCTTTGTACTAGGATAACAACACACATTGTGGAGTCTACACGTCATGTTTTAGCTACATGCTCCTCACCACTACCACACTAGGAGTATCCTCTGTGATCATCACCGCATCTTCTTTAAGGGAACCCAAGTCATTGTTCATGCTGACAAAGCTGCATGTGGTCAAGTCTCATGTAACCTTGGGGGTCTGTGCTCAGAGCCCACCCTTCTCACCAAATCCTCCCTTTCTCAGGTGGACATTCCATGACTGGAATGGACAGTGATCCACACACACC